TAATCAATTTTCTAAAAGGTTCGTAACTTTTTTTTGAGCGGATGGCGTAACCGATTTTTAACTTTGGCGGCTCAAATTGCTCAGTGAGACCCCCTCTCAGAAATTTCTTCAGAGATAAAATTATATCATATTACGAATAAGTGATTATATGTTATGAAAATAATGTGTTAATATTTTAAATTCTAAAAATGTTAAAATAAAAATATTTTAATTAAAAAAATAAAACGACTACAGAAATTGGAGAATTCTATCCACCCTAATGGAATGTACTTCTACATCTATTTAAACATTTTAGTAGATTTATAGGACAATAGACATCTACGAATATTTAAATTTGGTTTAGTGGTCGGGTGCCTTCCTCATCCGAACGAAACTATCGATTCGGATGTCGATACATGGATACGATACGGATGTCGATAATTCTGCCTGGAGCCGTATTGTATAGTGAAAGGCAACCGACTGCTAAACCAAGTTTAAATATTAGTAGATGTCAATTTTCCCTATCAATCTATCAAGATATTTAAGCAGATATAGAAGTACATTCCCTTAGGGTGGATAGAATTCCCCAATTTCAAAGAAAACGGTTTTTTTTTTATTCAATTTTTTGTATGATTTATTTTGTTGATAAAATTTTCATTAGATAAATATTTATTCACCAGAAAAGAATTTTACAGGAAAGTAATATTACTGATAGTGAACTATAAATGCACCTGTTATCCTCAAAGGGTGGTTTGGTCATTAATGAATGTAACGGATATCAACAGTTTTGCTGGTGAGTTATCTTCAGAGCCAGATATCACGAATTGCAGAATAATTTTACAAAATTAGAAGATTCCGTGGAGATAGGCTGTTCGCGGGTCTCTATTCTTGCTCCCATCCTATGAAAACTGGTCTTTGACAAAGTACTGGAAATGTCCGAATAACAGAAGATAACAACTCCTCGCTACGGCTTATGTGGATTGGCTCAAGGCTGTGGTAGCTTGGAACTAGCAAGAAAGAAGGAGAGCGATCTTCCAATGTAATAGGACGATTGCGAGGAGGAATACTTTTAGGACGGCTTCTGCTAAAACCCAAGCAATCCACCTGTATGGAAGATAGGGTTCGTCTGATATCAATGATTAAACCTGGATCAAGAAAAAGTCCAAAAACTCCCTTGTAATAACCATTGAAGGAAATTTCAAAGTTATGTCTCACTTGGTCTATTTGAGAAGTAGAATAACTTTCCCTAAACGGAGTCAGTCGTATTAAGGGTGCATTTTGGAGCATCAGAAATGATCATTTATAAAACGGAATTGTGGGTATTCTGAAGTAAATGGTCTCTCTCGCATTACTGAAGAGACGTTGGTAACGATTCTGCTGCGAGTCGCCAGAGCTTACGGGTACCTCATTATCTGATGAGATTCCATTAAAAAGATTAGCTTTCGATCCTCTCCTTCCTCTTGCTGGAGGAAGGCATTTTCAGGAACCAAATGATGAAAGAAGGTTCGGAGGGTCAATCGGATAATCTCCGTGTCACTAAATGAAGAACCTCGCTGATAGGAGAGGATTCTTCGAGACCACATACTAGCTGAATGAGACCGGTGGTAGATTCCAATAATAAGGAAATATTTTTTATTGCCGGTTTACGGTTAGCAGCGCCATGGGTCGTACCAGATTAGTGGGTTGGGGGAGTAGATACTCATTGAACATTTGCTTCTGAGCAAGACTCATTAAAGATATAATCCTCTACTTTGAGAACTATCTGATGCCCAAACCCAAACTCTGCTTGGGGAAGGAGGAAGTTTAAGGAAGACAGACACAGAAGAGGATGTGTATACAAACTGAAAATAAGGGCAAGCTCTATGGACAGTTGTTGATAAAATTGCAATGATTTATTGAATACTTGATGGTTGACCGTTGTATGTTATTGAGTAAGGAGATGATCCGGAGTGGCGGTCATAAAAAGACTAAAATAGTGACAAAACTATTTTTATTTCAAGCCAACGTTTCGACGCAACTTTTCAGGTCTTCTTCAGGGATGTATATGCAGCAAGGAGTTTCATTTGACTGAAACCAAACAACTGACAATCAGTCAACTGAAACTCCTCGCTGCATACACATCCCAGAAGAAGACCTGCAAAGTTGCGTCGAAACGTTGGGTTGAAATAAAAATATTTTTATCACTATTTTAATCTTTTTATGGCTGCTACTCAGGACAGCCTCCTTACTCATTAAGGAGTTTTTCTAGCATAGGCCGCGAACATGTATCAGTAAACATGATGGGTAAAATAGGCAAACAATTATAAATGTATAAAAATATATAAAAATTCGATAGGAATAAAATTCTATGAGGTCTTTTCTATCAAACTATGCTCTTGAAATTCAGAGAAATTTTTCAAATGAAAACCACCAACTGTAGGTAAAAAATAATTATATAATTTTCTATAACAGTAGCTGTCCTATTATTACAAGATACTAACGTATCTAAGATACTAACGTATCTAAGATACTAACGTATCTAAGATACTACCGTATCTAAGATACTAACGTATCTAAGATACTAACGTATCTAAGATACTAACGTATCTAAGATACTAACGTATCTTTAATTATTCATTTTTATTTCTGGTCCCTCGAACTCCGAAAAAATAATTATGTTCAAGAACGTTTGTAATATAAGTGTTGCCGAATACATTACTTTTCTTTACCTTCTCAACAACGTTAGGTAAATTGAAGTATGTTCTGTTACTGGTATTGGATACTAATAAAATGTTTTTTTTTTTTAACCAATCTGACGTAATTTATTTTCCATTTTTTTTCTATTCTTATTTCAGATTTTAGTGGTCATGAAATATATCCTTGTCCCCCATGACCAATTTTTTTTTAATTTAAAATAATTCTAGTTTTTTTTTTTCAAAACTTCAGAACGCTATTTAACAATTCTGGAACAAAATTTTTTTTTTTTGGACGTTTTTGTAATGAAAAATGATCTAAACGCGATTCATTTCGCGGAATGAAGTCGTACAAATGACCGTTCATCTGAATGAACTATAACCATTGGTTTAAAATAAGCAAGATTACTAAGAGCAATAAATACATTTTCTTCTGGACAATTATTAATTCTTGTCACTTAAAATTAAATATTTCGACTGAAAACAAGACATATCTGTATTCTGGAGGAAAATAATACCATGTGGCATGGCCTATGTCACATTTTCCTATTTGTTCATGGGAGCTAAATCTCCATAACTTTGAGCCATTAAAATTAGTTTCTTAGTTACTATATCATTTAATTAAAAATGAACATGGCGTGCTTTATCTACGGGGCACAGATATTACATTTGAAAATATGCATTATTTATCAGGTAAGATAATTCGAATCAAGTACTTATACAAATAAATAAATTATTGAAAAAAAAATTTATATGACCAACTATTTTTTTCTTGGCTATTAATCAATTTTAAATAGGAGCAGCCAGTGATTTGTAGGATATAAGTATGTTCTTATGCATGGAATATTTTACAGTAAAATAACAATTGAAAAAAGTAAAAAATAAATCAAATCTGAAGCAAAAAACATTGATATGGTTCAAGCTTTTTTTGTGCAAAGTTATATACTTACTTGTTGCTGTGTCCTTCATAGAATCTAAAATAGCAGAACTTAATTTGTCAAGACAAATACTACACTAGTGATACTAGATGATTTACGCACAAAAATTGTATATATCAAGTAGATTTAGTATGAATTCTAAATCTTCAATACCTATCATTTATTTAATGCATGCATTTAGATGGTTAACGGGCTTTAATGTTAATTTTAGTCAACATTAAATGATTTCAAAATTTTAAAAATGGAAATAGTGTTTTTACCGCAACTACAAGGGACCTTAGGTTTAAAAAACATATTAAAGAAACTATAATTATAAAAACTTGAACTGAATTATTTACTAATTTAAATAATAATACTTATAGAAACTAGAACAGATACATTTACATTTTCATATACATTTACATTACAGATACATACAAGGGACCTTAGGTTTAAAAAACATATTAAAGAAACTATAATTATAAAAACTTGAACTGAATTATTTACTAATTTAAATAATAATACTTATAGAAACTAGAACAGATACATTTACATTTTCGAGAATGACATTCAAATATTTTTTTTTTAGTGTCGTCTGTTATCACTGTTATCTAAGACCGCCAAATTTGTATTTTTTTAAAATTTTATAGTAATATTTTATTTAATAAAAATTTGTTTTTTTTCTAAAGTATATATCGAATATTCTTAGTTGTTAAATTGTTTAGTGACCACAGTTAGTTCAGAATATTTTTTCCTGAAAATTTGATTAAATTTTGCATTTGCTGTAAAGAGTTCAGTTTTCTTTGCTTGCTTTGTTTTCGACTAGATAAGGCTAAGGTTGCTAGTTCTAAGCAGTAATAAGGTAATGTCAGATGAGGGAGAGTACAGGGAGATGTTGGACTTACGTTGTGATGTTTACCGACGTACTCCTGAGGTGGACTCGACGCTACTGTGCCCACATCTTGCCTCTGTTTAATTTTGTACCGCGATGAGGTTCTATGGGTACAAGTGACTTGCGTGGATCGCTTTCTTCCAGGAGGTAGTAGAATCTGCGCAGTCCGTTCTATCCCCCCCCCCTTACAGCAACCTGTGTCTACCCCCCCTAGCTAATCAATAAAAGCCTTTTCGACACCAATCAAACTTTTTAATTTCAAAATTTAAAAAAAATTACACTACGCTAATATTTTTGAGATTTTGTATTATTAAAATAAATAAAACTGCATATAAATGTGTGATGAACGTTTAATGAGTAATTAAAAAATATTAGACTATTAAATCTTAGTATTTAAAATAGTCCTACACTGAGTAATACCCACATAGCTTTAGAACGAAACTTGTTTCAAATATATAATATTATTGTTATAACGATAATATAAAATAATTTTTAAAAATTTAAAACTATTTAAAGTTCTTTTAAATGGAAATAATTAGTAAAAATCTTAACAAAACGTACTGCCAGGGACCGCGCTGGTGCCGCGGTGTTGGTAAGTCTGCGCATGCTCTCTTCAGTCGATAGCTCTCGGTGCTCTGGATCGTCCTTTTGTGATTGTTTTCTAACATAGTTTGTAATTATTTAGTGTTTTATGCGTTGATATAAGTGACATTAGTGAATAATAGTGAAGTGTTGATGTTTTATTTCTAATGGCGTCCGAAGAAGAGGTTGACGAGTGTTTACCAGGTAAATATCTTTAATCACAGGGTTATATCTAACCGTTGCCGCAAACAACAAATAGTTTCACACTTAGTTATTGTGTGATTAGCTTTCTTTTCCCTCATTAAAGACTCTTTGTCAGCTATTTTAATCTTAATTCAGTGAAATCAAGTACAATTTTAACTCTGATCTGGAATATTTAATATTATCAATGAAATTAAGATGAGGTATCCTCATTATTTTTCCTTGTCAAGTAAAGCGGCATTCCATGACCCTAAACAAAATGGAGGCCAACAAACAAAGAAATTGGCATGTACTTTTGCAATCAATTTTTTGTTTTCATTATAGAAATAATAAAAGTTATGGCAATCTTGTTGGAATTTAACTGAATTTTGAAATTGTATAACCTTCCTCATATGAAACTTTCTAGTTTAATACTTATGTTTTTGTCATCTTTAAATGATATCATACATTTAATAATTTGCCATTGATAATAAAAACTATTATAATTTTGAACTTCTTAAGTTAGGATAAAATTATGTTTGAATTGTACAAAAAGTTGATCATGTAAGATGTATTTTTATATTAACATTATGAATAGCAAAATGAAATTCTGTACAGTTAGTCTTACATGTAGCTTACTTTTTAAATTATTACTTTCATATTCTGATTTAATTTACTGTAGTTGACGATGAAGTCGATACCAGTGTTGTTCAACCAGAAGGCACTGAAGATAATTCACCCGACAGTGATGAAAGAAGCAGGATAGAGGTAATAACCGTAATTTAAATGACTGTTTTGCTCATAGTAAGTTCTGCTTATGTAATGGACTTTTTACTTCTTAGGAAGAAGATGATGAATATGATCCAGAAGATGGTAGGAAGAAAAAGAAAGGAAAAAAGAGAAAAGCCAAAGGGGAGAGTAAGAAAGAAAAGAAACGTAAAAAAAGGAAGAAGAATGATAGTGCAGAAGTAAATTTAAATTATTACATAGCTTTGTACGAATTTATTGTCATTACCTTTCTTAACATTCCATTGAATATTTTAGGAAAGTGAAGGAGGTGGTGATGATGAAGTTGATTCTGATTATGGTAGAAAATCGAAGAAAGCCAAAGGAACTCCTCAACCAAAACCAGTTCAACAAGATTCTTCTGGAGGTAAAATTAAACTTTTTATTATTACTCATTTAAATGTTTTATTCTAAAATACTTTTGATTGATGTATACCAATTATTTAATTTTTTGTTTGCTGTTTTCTTTTTGATTTTCAATTTAAATGAAGATTTATGTGTGATTCAGTTGTCTTAATAACATATTATCTCATGGCTTGTACTGAGGTTTCTTTCTAACAGTATGTTAGATTTATTTAACTTCTGACCCTCTAAATTTATTTATTTTCCAGGAGTACCATCCGTTGAGGAGGTTTGCAGTCTTTTTGGCCTTACTGATGTGCAGATTGACTATACTGAAGAAGATTACCAAAATCTTACCACCTACAAACTTTTCCAACAGCATGTTCGTCCTATCCTAGCCAAGGACAATCAAAAGGTTTGTCTTACAATACTTAAGTACTTTAATATTTTGGCAAATTTTCTTAAAATTATGGAAGTTTATTTTATTTTTTTACTTCTATTATTTGTTCTTAGGTGTTTTCTTGTTAGCTTTAATGTTCGGAATGATAGTAATATAAAATGATTATTTTGTTATATGAATCATATTGATTACATATTGACAAAAGAATAAAGTCAACTCCATGATAAACATTCTATTATAACCACTAATTTTGTAATTGATACAATTATTTCTGTTCAGAGTACATCTTTAAAGTAATAAATATTTATTTATGTTGTGAAAATATTTCTAAGAGCTTATTTTGCATTGTGTTTATACTTATAGTATAGTGTATGTGTAAAGACTTGCTATACTATCTCTAAAATATTTATAGATCACCAGTAAATATTTATGTTTTAAAAAATGTTTACAATGATCTAATGAAGTAACCATTTGAGAGGAGAGAGTTCGAGATTAAGATTTTTTCCATAACGTATTTTCGTATGTTGTATTTACTAATTTTATTAATATTTTCTTTGAAGGTGTTCATAATTTTTTTATTAGTATCTACTAAAAAAAATGATCATTTTAGATTAACTTCATTTTTATTGTTTATTTTTATTTAGGTTCCGATTGGAAAAATGATGATGCTCGTGGCTGCAAAATGGAGAGATTTCTGCAATTCCAATCCCAATGCTCAACAGGAGCCTGACCCAGAAGCTGCAGAAGAACAGGAATACTCAAAGCCCACCAGGACAAGACCTTCACGCGTTTCAGTGAGTATTCTTTTTCTTTTATTTTTTTTTTTTTTTAATATTATTTATATTTAACCATTGACCTGTCTGTAACCTTTTCATTTTATATGTTAGCATGGCAAATTTTAACTGTTGATTATAATTCTATTATAAATATCTTGAACACTTCATGTTAATGGCTGGTAACATTTATCTTTTCTACAAATCAAAGTAATGAATTAATTTTATGAATATTGAGTAATTCATTTTTTTTTTTTACAGTGTTTTTATTTAAAGAATTGATTTTGTAATGTATCAGGGAAAACTTTATTTATTTAGTAAATATGTTTTCAGACTACACAAAACGATGATGAAGAAGATGATGAAGCTGATGAAAGGGGCAGAAAAAAGAGAAGTGGAAGGAGTAAAAAATCATCTGGAAAGAAGTCCGCTCCTCCAGCTACAACCAAGGTCCCTACTCTCAAGATCAAGATAGGAAAAAGGAAACAGAATTCCGTGAGCTTGTGTTTTTTTGTTTTGTTTGGTTTTTTTAGTCCTTGATTTTCTTTAGTTTTTTCTTCATTTTTCCTTTCATTCCGATCTATTCATTCACTTGTTTAAGGTGAAATCCAAATTTATCATTATTGATTTGAATAAGGAAAAATCTGAACCACTAAAGCAGATTTTTGTTATGTCTGGAAAATTATGTCAAAGCGGGTTTAAGATCTTTTTCTTCAGGGTGAAGCTCTGTTGACTATATTTTGCTGAAATATTAAAAGAATTCGTTTTTAAAAATGAAAAAGCAGGAAGTGTAAATCCCATAAAATGGAGTTGTGCCCCTTTATAAAATAGCTCATATCTTGATTGGTAAATATATGCACTGGTGCAGAAAATTGCTGGACCATTACACGCTCACAAATGTTCAAATTATTATTCTGCAATACATCACCTCCTGGGTAAATTAAAATGGCCCATGATTTGAAAGCACTGTTTTCAACATTTCTAGTTATTTCGACATCAAAAATGTCGGGCTTATCCATCTTTAGTGGGTCATTGTCCTCCGCATGTTTCTTGTCTTTATTATTTTGAGTTCTTTTTGATTTGTTAGCTCCTGAACAAGCTCTTTTCAAGTACTGAATATCTATTGTTAAATTATTCCAAATATAACAAAAATCATGGTAGTTTTAAATATATTTCACTATTTTTATTTTAAAATTAATGGATAAAAAACCAATTGCATCCTCAAATTAAGAACCACCCTCCTTACCCTAATTTTTTCTACATCTAATCTGATTAATTTCTGCTATCTAGATCATCTTTTCATTGCTTTCCACTATTACTAGGGCTGCTATTTATGTTATCTATGTCAGCCAATGGCGTTCAATTTGAATACCTAACGAATAATATCACATCATTCAAAAAATGAAAATCCTTAATCTTTTTTTAATTTATTTTAAACACGGGGAGTTGGTCGGGGGGTGCGGTCAAATGAATACTATATATCAAAATAGTATTTTATTATTTTTGCCGACATTTCGACTCACTTTATAGGTCTTCATCAGGGCAGCAAAAGATAAAATAAAAGAATTATTGGCGATATTAAACAAGAAACAGTTGTCTGATGAATAAATAATAAGATGATATCAGATATATAGGGTTACAGTGTAGTTAAAATATCAAGTATAACATATATTGAAGATACAAAGAAAAATAGGAAATAAGTGTGAATATTATTCTGACTCAGTTATGTTAGATTTATTCTCATTATTTGATTAGGATGAAGAAGATGAAGGTTCTGTCGGAGCTGTTTCTGAAAGGGACTCGGATGCTGAATTTGAGCAAATGCTTGCAGAAGCAGAAGAAGTTAATAAACCCGAAGGAACTGTAGAGGAAGAAGAAGGTACTGAAGTCCCTGTGCCAAAGAAAAAGGCCAAAACGAAAATTGGTAATAAAAAGAAAAGGAAGAAGACCAGGACTACTAACAAGTTTCCAGACAGTGAAGCTGGTTATGAAGTAAGTAACGTATTTAAATTCTGTTGATATTCTTAATTTTGTTTTGTTTTTATGAATCATTTTAAATAATACTTTTGGATAAGTTTATGTTAATTTTTTTAATTTAAAATTATCCTGTTTTCAGACTGACCATCAAGACTATTGTGAAGTTTGTCAACAAGGAGGTGAAATTATTTTATGTGATACATGCCCTCGGGCTTATCACTTGGTCTGTTTAGATCCTGAATTGGAAGATACGCCAGAAGGCAAGTGGTCATGCCCTCATTGTGAAGGTGAAGGGGTTCAGGAAAAAGAAGACGATGTTCATCAAGAGTTTTGCAGGTATTATTATAGTCATGCTGTATTTTTTCAAAATATATTTTGCCTTTAATTATTAGTTCTAGTCTTCTAATCTATAATTCTACATTTTTTTTATAAAAAATGTTTATGATTGGTTAATATAATCATTGATCAAAAAAAGTAAAAGTAATTTATAAAATTTACCTGAGTTTTTATTATATTACAGAGTTTGTAAAGATGGTGGAGAACTTTTATGCTGTGATTCTTGCCCTTCTGCGTACCACACATTCTGTTTGAATCCTCCATTGACAGACATCCCAGATGGTGATTGGAAATGCCCACGTTGTTCGGTGTGTACTTTTTATTTGTTATCAATTTTTTTTTTATCCTTATTTCAAGGAGTTTATTATACTATTATGTGACCAAATTATTGAAATAATAATTTGGTTGTTCTCCTTGAATATATAAAATTTTGGCAAGATTTAGAATGTGATTCCTTGAGTAATGGATCATTTATTAAAGGCCTTACCTTACAATTTCAATTATATTTGTTAAAAAAAAAAAAATTATTTTTAGTTTAGACCTGATACAAAATTTTCTATCAATGAGTGTCTTGCTCCCGAATCTGAACAGTTTGCTGATTTTTTATTGTTTAAACACAAAATTTTTTATACAGGTTTCATTTTGTCATAGGTATGATTTGGTATTTTTATGGAAAACTATTTTAGTTCCAACTCGTTCTATACAGTCGACTCTGCTACATTGGACAAAACCATTTTGTTCCAATAAATTGAATTCCTATTAATGCTTTGTTAGGTTGGAACCCTGGATGATACTTGATTCTGTTAAAGTAGATTTTGAAAAATTTTTAAGAATGAAATTCATACTCGCTATTAGAAATAGGTACTTTCTTAAGTGTACCTTACATGATCATTCGTGAATGAAAGTCACAAGAATGACAAAGAGTGCTCGGGGTCGCTTTCATCATGATGAGCTCTACACGTTCAATCATTACTGACCATTTTAGCTCAGTTGACATTGATATAACAGGCAGCATGGATCTGGTGGATTGTCCACTTATAATAATGTATTTAATTTAAAAAGCTTATTTGGACATTGTCCTTTATAGTATTGGACATTAAGAGAAAAATGGAGATATAATACCAAAGTTATTCAACTACTTATAAAAATTTAGGAAAAGTATTGCGAAAATAATCAATTTGTTAAGAACAATTAAAAAATTGAAGACAAATAAACACAACAGTTGAGTTTTTTTTTTCTATAAGTAAATTGTGAAGTTTCCACTTCTTTTTTTTTTTTTTTAATTTATTGGCCACTTAACTATTTAAAGAAAAAATAATTGAAAATGGTTTATAAAAATTTAAACTAGAGATATAAAAAACTATCTACTTTCATGAAATTGTTTACTGAAAATTCAAGAATGTACAATGGTTGTGAGGTCTAGGTAAACAGACCTATCTAGTAGTAAGATTAGTCTCATAGGAAATCTATTTGACAAAAGTTAATAAAATTTAAGTCAACTACTTACAAAAATTAAGGAAAGGTATTGCGAAAATAATAAATTTGTTGAGAAAAATGGAAAAAGAACTGACGAATGTACACAACAGTTACAGATTAATTTTTATCTTTAAGTTAATTGTGAATTTAACATTTTTTTTTTTATTTATTGCCCACTTGACTGTTTAAAAAAATAGTTTAAGATGGTTTATAAAATACAAACAAGGGATATGAAAAACTATCTACTTTCATGAAATTGTTTACTGAAAAATCAAGAATACAATGGTTGTGAGACCTAGGTAAACTAACCTATCTAGTAGTATGTTTAATCTCCACACTACTTTTACCTCAGTCTCCCCTCCATTTCTCGTGAACGAACCTGGAAATCTGCCAGACACATCCATCCTTCATTCACTACCTTACACGATCATTCGAAACGTCAATGGCTCGGAATGTAATTCCGAATGACCGTTTAAGGTCCACTTATTCCATTGAAGTGGAATTATTTTTCTCCTAAAGGAATAACATTACACCAATAACATAAAATATTCTTTGTTACTGTATGTGGCTCACAAGCCTGGTAGAAAAAGAGAAGGAACATATCTTCTTATTTGTGGAGTCTAAAGCTCAGTGGAAGGACAAACATAGTTGTTTGCTATTTTTCTTTCTCTCTGTGTTGTTCTTCATTAGACAGCATACTTAAAACTTTTATCCTGAGCTGCTTCCACTGAGATAATATAGGGTACTGTAATTTCTAAGTTGTTAAAATTTTATAGATGTTTTTTAAACAAAGAACAGTTTTTAGTTCTTAACCCCTTTGTCATCATTTTTAAAATACTAACTGTAAATAAATTTGCAACTAAACTAGGTAATACTTTGCTCCAGAAAAGGTATCTGTACTTATTCTGATTTTGTACAGATCATTATAAAATCATCATTTCAGAATCATAAAACAGCAATTTAAAAAAAAAAAAAAATGGATTTATATTTAATGAAATGTTCTTTTCTGCTATATTTGTTGTTATGTTTTTCTAGTTTTGATTCAATGAAAACTGTTTAGTAAGCTTGAAAAAATAAGTTAGTAGTTCTTGCCTATTTTTGATTGGAACTGCTTTAAAGCGCATTTTTGATTGTCAGGATTTTTAATAAGTTTTAGATAGTAGTGTCAATTCTCCCAGCTGACCCACATACTTTGTTTCACTATAAAATAATATATTAATTAATAGAACACTCTAATACCAAAACATTGTATATAAAGGGCTTTTTCTTCCATCCATACTAACAGGAAGTTGAGATATAAAATTCAGAATTTACTAGGCACTATAAGTGGATTAAAAAAATACAAATCATCACAAAAAGTATAAAAATTATGCAAAATAACATAATTTGGCAGTACTATTTTGTAGATATTTTAATTGTTATCAAAGGAACCAGGAAAGCCTTTTGTGTCTCAATCAACTAATGCTTTTCCTTTAAAAGTCAAAGTTTTATGTTTTTCGACTTTCTTTGATTCCAATTTACTGGAAACGCACAAGAAAGCAATCGTCGATGCTATCAGTTGTACCTATTAAGCGGAGTCGACTGTATACGTGACACATTATATACTACTTACTCATTTGCTGTCTAATAACTTAATAGCCAAATTGATTCTTCGCATTATCTCTTTGTCCCCGTTTTCAATTTGAGGGAGATGAAACTCATTGTTTTCAATACCAGGTTCATGATCAATTTTGTCTCTTTTTTTAAGAAGTAACATTCCTGTTTTTATTTACATGCTTTCCTGTGGCTCAGAGCATCTCCCAGGTTGGTGTGCAAAAAGTAATGAAACCCACTTAATATTTTCTTTTTTAGTTTTTCCGTTTAAATTACAAAAAAAAAAAAAAAAGGGTTGGCAAAAGTTATTCTTAAGGTTTTTTAAAATTCACTTTTTTTATGGAGCAAGTCAAGAAGTTTATTTATGCTTCAGTTTTTATATTAAAATTTCATTATTTTAGGTACCTTATTTTACTCAAAACCAAAATCACAAGTTACATTCTCTATTTTAAATATAATTGAAAATAAAATTGATTTTTTCAACATTTCTATCTGTAAAAATAAATTTTATTCCTGTTTGGTTCCCATTATTTAGTTTTTAACTGATGTTTTTTTATATTCAAGCATAAGTTTTTTTTTTCTATTCTCTACTATCTATTGAGAATAAAAATGTACTCAGCTACAGCTATTCCTAAATAAAGACTGAGGTAAATTCAATGGGTTGGTACTAAGTTCAATTCTATGATTTTGATAATTGGGTAGTTTTTATTTTTTACATTAAGAAACTATAATATGTGGAACATTTATTCGCATCAAACCTATTTCGATTTCAAATTAAACTATAAAATATTCAGCCCTAATAGCAATATTCAATCATTCAAATATCACTTATTTTCCAATGAAAATACATTTGTTCTACCTTCATTTGTCTCAAAAGTTCATCTGGTTTTACTTATTATTGTATTTACAGTAACTATATAATTTTAATAATTATTATTATTTTATTTAGATGGTTACAGATTATTAACTCAATAACGTAAAGAAAATAAGTAGCCAAGAAGCATATTGTGTCAAACTTTTGTATCCAATAAAAAATTAGCATTCTATTTTATCCACCATTTCTCATTATAATGGATTAAATTCTTATAATGTCAAAAGATCTCAGCTTCAAAGATGTTAAAGAAACAGTCGAAATATACAATTATTTTTTTAGGTTTTATAAACTATTAAGAATAATTTATTAGAACTTTTTAAGAGAAAATTAAAACTTACCTGTCATAGATTTATCAACATTTTAAGGTTATTGCATCTGTATTTTTACTTATTAATTTTTATAAAATCTTATTTACTAATTACAAAAAATCTTTTTACATTGAAATATCATTAATATATTACTAGTCATTAATTTGTCTGTATTTACGTTATTGTTACATAAAAATAATTTTATTGGTTATGTTTCAGGCGAAGCCTTTAAGAGGTAAAGTTTCTAAGATACTTACTTGGAGGTGGATCGAATCCCCTAGTAGTAAAGATGAAGAGGACAATACTAAAAAACGTAATAGGCAAAGGCAAAGAGAATATTTTGTTAAATGGGCAGATATGTCTTATTGGCATTGCAGTTGGGTGTCTGAACTTCAGGTAAATTTGAATTATTTATTAATATATATTTGTTTAGTAATAGTTTAATTCAACTATGACATTCATTAATTTTCACTGAACTGTTCTCAATTTTTTTTTGTTATACATATATTCTAGAGTTGAGTTGTGAAAAATATAGTTTCCGGGTTCTTAAGCCATCCTTAGAATAACTGTTCTTGCTCTATGTCTGTCGATGAAGTAGTATGAATTTAATGCCTTTTAAATGATTTTCATTGTTATCCTACTTGGATTCAAATCAATTCTAAAACATGGCCTTTTAGTTATCACAACAATCCCTTCTATATCTCCACTCAGGTTTGGGTTAGGCTCAAATATATTTAGCGTCCTAGTGTTATCTTATCAGGAAAATCACAAAACATTAAGAGCAAAACTTTTACTCAAGTTTCTGAATGTCAAGGAGTTTAAAAAAACTGTTAAACTCAGTGTGTCATGAATTGTGTCAAGTGATTACTTCTAATTTAATCCACAAAAAAATGAAATTTAGCTCATCAATTTGGAGTCAGTTTCTAATGTGATTTTTTTGTTTCATATAATTGTATCAATGTGATTAAAACAATTGGAAACAGTTTAGGTTTAATATTTTTATAATTATTAAAGCAACCAATAACTCTTTCGTCTTTTGGTGCTTTGAATATAATCAAATAATAAGGTCAAATGTTCAATTGTTTTAAATTATTCTACAACCAGATTATTTAAGCCTCCGATATTTCTTAAAACATAAGCTATTATTGGGGGCTTATAATTAGATATGATATGAAAAGAGGATGGAAAAATTTCCTTATAATGCTTAAATCAGTATGACCATTTTGTAATAAAAATATGTTATTGAGTTTGAAAATGATTTTCTATTTGTAGTATATTTTTTAGAAGTTAGTTAATTGTTTTTCTTTACAGATGGATGTTTTTCACACTCAAATGATACGAAGTTATATTCGTAAATATGATATGGACGAACCTCCCAAACTAGAAGAACCCTTGGATGAGGCCGATAATAGAATGAAGAGGATTAGAGAAGCTAATATTAATGATCAAGAATTAGAGGAAAAATATTACAAGTAATTATTCTATATACTGAAGTTTATTAGATTGGTTTACTTAGCATTTTTAAACAATAAAATAACTAATTTAAGTTCTTATTAATAGTTGATCGGTTAATTAAGTCAGGCTAGTTACCAATTCATAGTCGTATTAGCTCTTGTTCTCTTTTGGTTGTGTGAGGCCTTATTCACCATATTTAGTTGTGACAAAGTCTGTATTAAGTATATTAGAGGATAATTGTATACTCTTACAGTCATCTTTAATAATAATAGATGTTAAATCATAATTTAATAATATGTTTCTTATAGGTATGGTATTAAACCAGAATGGCTGATTGTGCAGAGGGTAATTAACCACCGAACTACGAGAGATGGAACCAATCTGTATCTTGTTAAATGGAGAGATCTTCCGTACGATCAGGCAACTTGGGAGGAAGAAGTTATTGAGATCCCTGGTTTAAAGAAGGCTATTGAATATTACAATGTAAGTTTAATGTTTGTTTCATATGAAACTTAATTTTATCATGGAGATTATTTTATATTATATCAGAACAAAACTTATATCGTCTGTTTATTGCAGAGAGTTACTACATTTTTAATGTAGGTAAACATTCAAGTATGTTTTTGTGAATTTCAATTTTATTTATAACAACAAGTGCATGAGAATGACACAAACCCTTAATTTATTATATATATAATTACTCTGAGTGCTCATGTTCTGAATTCACGGAGGGGAAATGAAATTCATCAAAGAAAGTACATATTAATTAAATTTTATGAATTATTACTCAGTGCATTTTTTCAATAAACCTACGATATGTTCAGATGATAACTCATAGTCACGAGTTCGCGTCCCGTTGCCGGGGGAGTCTTTTAAATCCCTGGCCCGGGAAGATGATAACTTATAGTTATAATAAATTGAAAGTAAAATGAAAATTGATACGGTATTATTTATTTTTTAAGTGCCAAGTTAAAAAAAAAAATTGTTTCATTTTGGTTGTATATTTTTTATATAATTTGTTTTTTTCATATTCAATTCAATATAAAATTTACCATAAATTAAAAAAAAAAACTATTTTTAGGAGATGAGAGCTTGCTGTTTGGGAGAATCTAAAAAAATTAAAAAAGGAAAAGGGAAAAGATCGAAGAGAGATCAAGATGATGATGAAGGGAGCAGAAGTGCAGGAATAATGGCCGTTGGTGGACCAGCTACTGGGTAAGTTATTTATGGCTTAGCAAATTTCAGTACTATTTTACTTTATCTTACTTAATATTAGGTTTTTCAGGATTAAGTGGCTAAATTGCAAAAATGAACTAAGAACCTCAAACCAGAAAAAATGTCCTCTGAAGGTATGTCCGCAAATGCTTTGTTTAGGAGATATTCACACCTAAAGATTTTCGTTGTTATGAATTATTTACGTTATATGAAATAAATAAAACCTATTTATTTGTTCTTACTACTTTATTAATTTAATGTCACCCCAAACAAAAAAATGCAGTGGTGTCAGTTCTGAAGATCGTGCAGAACAAGCCACTGGTCCTGCACGGTCAATCCATTGATTAGGATATGGAATATGATTGAGCAAATCCGGTCAATGACCTTAATTCTGCCACTGCTGCAGTTGAAGAAAGATGTCGAGCCTGTCTTAATCCTCATCAAGCAAATCATTTTGCTCATATAATGTAAATAATTCATAACAACTAAAATCTTTAGCTGTGAATATCTCCTAAACAAAGCGTTTGCGGACATACCTTCAGAAGAAATTTTTTTCTTGTTTTGAGGTCCTTAGTTCATTTTTGCAGTTGAGCCACTTAACCCTAAAACATCCTGTATATTTCATGTACAGGGTGTCCCGTAAGTAGAGAAAAACATTTAAATGGTTGATAGTAGAAATCAAGATCTACAAAAAAAGTTTATATAAGCAATTGCCCAATTTCCAGTAGGAAAGTTAAGATTTGTGTTTTTTTAAGCAGGTCTTTTTTTTTTTTTAATAGGAAGGGATGGCTACAAAAATCAAAAATATTTTATTTAAGTAGTTAATCATTGCTCCATGGTAAAATAGACATTTAGTAAAAACGAAATTAGTCTTATTTATTGATAAATCCATTGACAGAGATCTCTTGAGCTGCTAAAACAAGCTGAATTCTGTTTTTTAAAAAGTTATAAATTAATCGAGTTTTTTTTTTTTTTAGCATCATTAAACTATACTACAGTTACCCCTCTTTTATAAAAACTTCTTCATTTAATTAAGTTGAGGTTTATCAGAGAAAAAAACTTGAGAATCAAGTAAAAGTACCCTTGTTTTCAGCAAAAATGACTACAATATACTGTTGCAAAGCTTTTATTTCTCGTTTTCTGGCATATGGAATGTATTTTAATAAACATAATTGCCTAAAATCACATTTTATTTATAAATAATAAAAAACTTAAAAATAACAATTTTTCTAATATTTTTCATTTAAAATGGTTATGAAACTGTTTTTCTGCCAGATTTATGTCATCAAAATTGTTCTGTTTTTATCAGTGAAAAACTTAATGTTTCTTACCAAAATTTACATTTAAACTAAAGAAGTCTATTGATTGCTTAAATTATTTTCATGAAAACGTAAATATTAGGGCTGGAAACAATAAGTTGGCACTTATAAATTAATTTTTATGGCAGAAATTTGACAGAAAAAAATGGGTTTTCATAACCACCCTACTTGAACAATATTTGAAAAATCATTAATTTTGAATTTTTTTATTTTTATAAATAAAATGTGATTTTAAGCAGTTGTGTTTATTACAATACATCCCACATCACTGAAAAACAAGAAATAAAAGCTTTTTAACAGTTAGTTATAGTCATTTTGCTAAAAACATGGGTACTTTTAGGTGACTGGGATAGAAAATCACATCATTTCTTTACACAACTTGAGGTGAATCTCAAAATTTTTCTAATAAACCTCAACTTAATCATTATGGAACTAAAGCTGATTAAACACTAAAGTTTTTCTAAAAGTGAGGTTACTGTAGTAGTAGCAGTAGTAGGTAACATTTGAAAAACTATAAAGAAAAAATTTTTAAAAAATCAAATGATTTATGACTTTTTAAACGGAACTTAGCTGAGTTTCTCTGCTCAATTATCCCCTTTAAATGATGTTGAAAATCATAAACTCTACTTTCGTTTAAAGTAAATTTTATCTAGTTTACTACGGAGTATTGTTTAATTACTTTAAAACAAATATTTTTTTAATAACTGCTTCCTATTCAACAGTAAACGTGACTCAAATAAAAAAAAAACACAAATCTTAAATTTCCTACTTTTCTTTTGGAAACTGGACAATTATTTTTATAAACTTTTTTGTTGATCTTGATCTTTACTGTCAACCTTTTAAAAATTTCCCTGTACTTATAGGAAACCCTGTATGATTAGGAACCTCGTACTTCAAAATTTTTCCTTTATATCAATATTTTATTTAATACTAAAACATACATAATTTTAATAATTTATTTGTTTATTTTTGTTGTTTTTAGTCAATACTTTCCACCTCCAGAAAAACCCGTCACAGATTTAAAAAAGAAATATGATAAACAACCGGAGTATCTTGACGTCTCTGGTATGTGTCTTCATCCATACCAATTAGAAGGTTTGAATTGGTTAAGGTATTCCTGGGGACAGGGAACGGACACTATTCTTGCTGACGAGATGGGTCTTGGAAAAACTATACAAACTATTACTTTCCTTTATTCCCTCTACAAAGAGGGTCATTGTAAAGGCCCTTTTCTTGTAAGTTTTATTTTTTGATTTTTTGATTATGAATTATTTTTAACAAATGAATGAAAATGTTAAACATAATTATAATGTATCATTAAATAAATAATATATTAGATAACATTTAAATTAATTATATTTTCATTTTGGAATATGATTATTCTTGTCTGTGATATGATTATTCCTACAACTAATGTTTTTATTCATCAAGTAAAAAAATAATTAAAGGTAAATATTGAAGAAGATTATCTTAAAAGATCTACCGGTTTGGCTTTATAGTTTATTCTAGTTCATTTATTTTAATTTTATTAATTATAATCCTAACCATACTTAATTGCATAAAAACCAATTTCATATCACAAATGCTCTTTTTTTTTTTTTTTTTCTTTTTTTTTGCTATGATTAAATTTAAAAATTAAACAAAAATTACTTATATTGAAAGAATAAATTTTATTTATTTACAGGTGAGTGTTCCCTTATCAACAATAATCAATTGGGAAAGAGAGTTTGAAACATGGGCACCAGATTTCTATGTTGTTACTTATGTTGGAGACAAAGATTCACGTGCGGTGATACGTGAAAATGAATTTTCCTTCGATGATAATGCTATCAGAGGAGGAAGAGGTGTTTCAAAAGTTCGCTCAACGGCGATTAAATTTCATGTGCTGTTGACATCTTATGAACTTATTTCTATTGATGTAACTTGCCTTGGTTCAATAGAATGGGCAGTACTTGTTGTAGACGAAGCGCACAGGCTAAAAAGTAATCAGAGCAAGGTTAGTACTTAAGTACTCATTAATTCAACATAGTTTGTATATTCTTGTTTGGATGAACTTAGCATTGTTTAGTTTTATTACAAATACTACTATTATAGAGGTGTTTAGTTTTAAAACTGGTTACATCCATTTTCAAACATTTTTAAGGACTAATCAAAAAAGATTCGTTATAAAAATCAGTTTAACAATTTTGTTTTTTTTTAAATATTTTCCATTATTTTGATTAAAAAAAAAGGCTTTAAACATAAATTATTGACAACTTTTTGTGATATATTTTTATTAAATCCCATTCAATATGATAAATATGTTGGATGTACCTGAATTTTATCAGAAAATATTTTTGGTTTAAAAAAAGACGTCTTTCAAAACAGATCACTTTTATTAATTTTTACAAGAAATACATATAATTTTAATTTTTTATATATACAAATTTTCATTGATATCTTAAACATTTCCAAGATTCTTTTAAGTCCCTGCCTTTTTCTAGGTTGACTTAATTAAATTTCAGATTTTTTCCCCATTGTGATAAGGTTAAAAGTGGGGCAAATATTTAAAGAAAGAATTTTGGGTTAAAACCATCTAAGACTATTTTGATGAAAATTCAATTTAATTGAACCAATAATTCAAATCCTATTGGTTTGATAAAAAATTAAATCTTTTGGAGTATCTAGACGGGGATTTAAAACAAACTCATCATTTCTGGCATTAGGAACTTATGGGAAAAAAAAAAATTAAGGTGTGTGCTTTAGACCACACGATAGAAGTGAAAACAGGAACAAAGCGAAATTAATAATATGAAATATAAATTATAAAAAATAGCTCATTATAAAGAGGGTCAAATGCCTGAATATTTCCCTCGCTTACAGTATGCAGGTCCGATTTTTAGCTTCTGAGATATTTTAATCCATATCGTTCATAAAATCTTTTAATTTGGGAATGCGGTTCTATTGTATCCCAGTATTTTTCAATTTTTTTGATTACATCTTTCCAGTTGATTTTGGTAAATAAATTTTCTACATCAAAACAGATCAAACAATATTTACCTATTGTCTGTTTTATTTATTCTTTCAAGCATTTGATACATCCTCCTCCATTGAGTTTTTTTACATCATTGTTACTATCTGATTTTAGGATATTGAGTGTGAAATTAAGATATTTAGTCAAATTTTTCAGTATCCCCATTGATATTATTGATAATAGGACTAAATGGAGCGCCACTTTCATGTAACTTTACTAATCCATATATTCTAGGTGTATTGTAGTTAGGGCTAATTAATCTAATTTCGTTTAATAAGACATTTTTAAAGTTAATAACAAAGTTCTATTGCATAAAATATAGACATCAAAGCAAGGTCAATCTAAAAATGTCCTTAATAATTTATAATTTACTTATTTAAATTAGTGAATTTACTAGTTTATGTTGTATCCAACAACTGTTTAATATTCATGTGGAAATCTCCAGTTGAAAGGTTATGTAATGTTATATTATTATATATTTTCCATTATGCCATTATTTCAGCTATTAATTTCATTTATATTATTTATCTTCTTATGTTTTATATATTGTTAACAATGTTGTCAAAAAAAATTTCAATGTTGTAATAATATAAGCATTTGTACTAAATATTATCATTGGATTTTGGACACTATTCACACACCTCTCCTACTCTCTAACACAGTGTTAGGTTAAGATACAATTTTGAATAATAGCTCATTACAAAAAAGACAAAATGCTAAACATTTCCCTCTCTTACAGTGTATAGGTCCGATTTTTATTATCTGAAATATTTTAATCCATGTATTCAACTAACCTCATTATCATTTGGTTTTCAACTCTATTTTTCCTTCGTTAAGATGCAATTTTGAATTATAGCTTATTACAGAGAGGATGAAATTCTGAACATACAGTATGTAGGCCCGATTTTTGGTTACTCAGATATTTTAAACCATATGAAAAAACATTTCAGTTAGCAGACTTTACCTGAGCGTTAAAATCTGACGGATCAATCTAATTCGCTCTCCACAAAAAAGTGCAAAACATGCCTAAAGAAAGTTCCACTTAAAAACAAAAAGATGTTTAGAAGAAATGGATATAACCAATTTTGAAACCAAATGTCTTATATGTATTAGAACACTTAATATCCAAAAAATACTACAAGGCTACATCTTTTTCTTTGTGAAAGGTGTAGTACTTTAATAAACTTGACTGGATAATAAGGGTTCTGCTGTTTAGAAATTTTATGTTTTTTTAATCTATTTGTTTTTATCAGTTCTTTAGGCTTCTTGCTTCATACAACATTGCTTATAAACTTCTGCTGACGGGAACTCCGTTGCAAAATAATCTGGAAGAATTGTTTCATTTACTTAATTTTCTTACGCCTGAAAAATTCAATGACCTTGCCACTTTTCAAAATGAATTTGCCGATATTTCAAAGGAAGAGCAGGTCAAGAGGCTCCACGAGCTCCTTGGGCCGCATATGTTGAGGAGATTAAAAGCTGATGTACTCAAGGTAAATTATTTACTTGAATATTATTTTTGTTAAGATATATAATATATTTATCGAGGAACCAAAAAATAAAATACAAGAAAAATTGTTTTCAGATTGGAAGGTTTAGCTATGTAATTTGATATTGGAGTTTCTGATTTAATATAAAATTAAGTGTTAAGTATGTTTAACCCTTTGTTGGGCAAAATTTTAACATTATTAACACAATATATTACCGGTATTACACCAAGTTGAAGTGGCTCTATCCATCCAACCGCCACCTGTACTTCCTTGCTACCTTTCTATACCAAGCCAGCAGAACTCAGCGACCTTCCTATATTTTCCACAGCCTACAATTTAAATATTCCATTCAATCCCGTACTTCTGACCTCTATCCACCTCCTTACCGAACTGCTGCGTTTGACAAATCCTTTGTAATTCAAGCCGTCTCCATCTGGAATATGATCCTTCCCGGTATCCGACATGCGCAATCAGTTTCCTCATTGAAATCTCTTTTTTAAGCACCTACTTCTTTCCCAACCCGGTTGATCATGAAAAGTAGATAAGAGAACTTTTTAAGTTCCCCCAGAAATGATTTTTTTTAATTATGTTATTTTATTTTCACATGTTTGTATTGTATATATCTGTATGTATTTAGTGGTTTTGTTTTATTTTTCTTCCAATATTTTTATTTTAATGAGCAATGAATATTTAATTTAATTTTATGGCCACACAGGCATTTCCTGTGTATCTATGATTTGTCCTAAAGGGACAAAAGTCCCAGGATAGTAAAAATTATTTTCATTTCATTTCAATGTAAACAACTTTTTAACCTTTATATATATTTATGTGGTTACTGCTCAGTTTTGGTGTTTTTTTATGAAAATAATATAAAAAAAATGTTGGTACACCAAATGTACAAATTCCCATTTTGAGAAGAACTTTCTGTAAGAGCTTCAAATATAAAACTTCGAATTTTGAATGTTTTTAGTTTTGTAATAGAAATACTGTTGGCAATCAATGTTTTAGACCTATTTAGGACAAACCATACAGGATCACTGTTACTGTTATATGTTATACCAATATTTCTTTACTTGGTTGTTTCCTGTGGTGTCTTCAATGTATTTTTGTAGCTTTGTCCTACCTAGTTGATCCCATTAAAATTTAATGTAAAATTTTAATTGACGATCCTGTTAAAATTAATTGTAAAATTATAATTGATGTAATATATTTGTTATTTTGAAATATTTTACAAATTACTTTGTAATAAATGTAATGTTTAATTTTTCTGTCTCTCTAATTAACACTGATTATTATTTTTTTTTTCTATTTCAATCAAATTTAGTCTTATTTTAATCTTATGATTTATATACATTTTTATTTCTAGAACATGCCTACAAAATCAGAATTCATTGTTCGAGTAGAGCTCTCTCCAATGCAAAAGAAGTACTACAAATATATTCTTACGAGGAATTTCGAAGCTTTAAATCCAAAAGGAGGTGGTCAGCAAGTATCGCTTTTGAACATTATGATGGATCTTAAAAAATGCTGTAATCATCCCTACCTGTTCCCCGCTGCCTCTCAGGAAGCTCCTTTAGGACCGAACGGATCCTATGATCTCCAAGGATTAATCAAAGCTTCTGGAAAATTGATACTCTTATCAAAAATGCTCAGGAGGCTCAAAGAAGAAGGCCATAGGTAAAATATATTTGTCTTTATTTTGCTTTTGTCCTTAATTCAAATATTATATTTTCTTTATACATCTTGGTAAATTTATTCTTTTGAAGAAATATATTTTTATGTAAGCTTACTTCATATTTCAGAGTGCTCATTTTCTCTCAAATGACAAAAATGTTAGACTTGTTGGAAGATTACTTAGAAGGTGAAGGTTATAAATATGAGCGTATTGACGGTACTATCACTGGCAGTTTAAGACAAGAAGCTATTGATCGGTTTAACGCCCCTGGAGCTCAACAATTTGTATTTCTTTTATCTACACGGTTAGTATTATCTCTTGCTTATAACATATTTTTACATGTTAAAATATATTCTTTAATTGCTTTATCTAGTCTATTGGTCCAGTTGACTCCCAAGAATAAAAAGATGTAATTTTTGCACAATTAAATTAGAGGTTGATATTGTGAGAAGAATTATTTTATTTAGTTCCGTGATGAATGTGGAAGGGAAAAATAAATCTATACAAATTTGTTTTATAAAATTAAGCAAATATTTTCGACAACCTCTTTATTATTTATGTGTCATTATTTAAATTGTTTATATTAACATTAGTAAAAAAAATATTGAGTGTGTGTGTCATTGCTAGATGTTGTAATGTTATAGAATGGTATTATTTCTGCTTTCAAACTGAATGTGAAACATTTCTTTTTACAGTTGAAAAGTGGTAGGTGTCTTATTATTATTTTTATTTTTTTAAGGCTCCATATAGTCCAGGAGCCTAATATATAAAATGCAGCCATAAAACATATATTTGAGTAATTTTAGAAATTATGTTTTTAAACATGTAATCTTACAACATAGTTTCATAATATATTAGCTTTAACTGAACTTAGTTTTAGTTTAAGAATAAAACATAGTTACCTAAAAATCTACATTTCATTATAATTTGTACCATTTTTTTTTTTTTTTTTTTTTCAGTGCTGGTGGTCTTGGTATCAATCTTGCTACTGCAGACACTGTTATTATTTATGACTCAGATTGGAATCCTCACAATGACATTCAAGCCTTTTCAAGAGCGCATAGGATAGGACAAGCTAATAAGGTACTATTATTTTGTGACTTCATTTAACATTTATTATCCATATTTCTTTATATATACATATATTAATATTACTTAACCAATAATATATTGTATTTTTTAAAGGTTATGATTTATCGATTTGTAACACGTGCTTCCGTTGAAGAAAGAGTAACACAAGTTGCAAAAAGAAAAATGATGTTAACACATCTTGTCGTCCGACCAGGTATGGGCGGAAAACAAGCAAATTTTACCAAGCAAGAACTTGATGATATTTTAAGGTTTGGAACAGAAGAACTTTTCAAGGAAGAACAGGTAATATAATATATTCTTTTTATGCTATTAATAATTTTATAATTGATGTATTGTCATTTGAACTATTATTTTTTTCAGGGCAAGGAAGATGAAGCCATTCATTATGATGATAAAGCTGTTGAAGAATTACTAGACAGGTCGAAAATGGGTATAGAACAGAAAGAAAATTGGTCTAATGAATATCTCTCCTCTTTCAAAGTAGCAAGTTATGTTACCAAAGAAGAAGATGAAGTTAGTAAACCCATGTTTATAATATTTATGTTATTATGGCTAGATATTTTAAACTTTTCAGTGTAAATATAACCTAAATTTGATTTTCACAATGTCAGAATTGTTTAATCATAAAATTTACAATACAATAGATCAAATGATAATGTATAAAAACTGTACTAATTTATTTTTCTCAAAAATGAATTTTTATTTTATAAATTAATAGTTTTTTCATTGGTTTGCTGTTATTGTTGGATCTATAATGAAAATGCATTCTTCATGTTAGATAAATTTAAAAAAAAAAAACCAATTTACAAATTCATAAAAAAAAAATTATGTTTTAAAAGAATTAGTTATTTCCTAGGATGAGGAAGTTGGAACAGAGGTAATCAAACAAGAAGCTGAAAACACTGATCCAGCTTATTGGGTCAAACTTTTAAGGCATCATTATGAGCAACAGCAGGAGGATATTTCTCGAACTCTTGGAAAAGGAAAAAGGATTCGAAAACAGGTTGGTAGTTTTAAAAGTTTGGCATTAATGCGATACAGCAGCAAATGAACTCTCAGAATTATTATCCTATTTTCGTACTACTGTTATACAAGGTAAATTACATCGACGGTGGAGTGATGGACTCAAGAGAGAACGCCGACTCAACGTGGCAAGATAATCTCTCTGACTATAATTCTGACTTCTCTGCACCATCTGGTACGTCAATGTTATTTTGATTAATGTTTTATAATTTGTGGTTAATTATTTTATATTGTTAATAATTAAACTTAATTATTCATTAAAACTCCCCTAGATACTTACAGTAATGATTTCTTGTGTTAAGACTCATAAAATGTTCTGAAACAATTGGTTATTAAATAAAGCATTCATTATAATTATTAATTGATTTTAATTAATTCATTCATAGTTATCAAAATATGAATGAAAAAAAAAATTAAAATTTGGACGTTTCAAAAAAATATGGTTCTAAGTAAAATTTCTGTTAAGATTTTTTAGATTTTTGCTCAATGGCCTATAAAACTTGTGTGTATCAAAATTTACTGTTATAACTAAATTTTCTCATATTTGCCCTCATGCTCGTTAGACTAGACAATTAAGTATTGCTTCCAGCTACACTCCCCGGATTTATTTATTCCTTTTTGGTTTGAATAAAGTATTTGAAATTGATAATGTAATCATAACAATTATTAGTAATAAACCATTGAGATTTTAATCAACCAGTTCATATTAAAGTTAATGTTCATGAAAAGCTTTGGCTAGTTTCATTATGGTATGTGAATTGAAGATGTTAAATTTTTTTCAGTATTAAAATAAACTTTAACAAAACAAATATGTTCTCTGTGATTTTTATATATAATTTTATTAATATTGAGGAATATTAAGTTCATGTAACACCGAAGGTAATTCAAAGAATAATCAATAGTTAAAGAGAATATTGTTAGTAGTGAGTTCAATTGGTAACAAAAACCTTTTGTTACAAGCTCGTTGGTTTCATAAATGCAAGGTAAATTGCAAAGTTTATAGGTCTAGGTACTTTGTTTGCATTACTTAAAAAGTTAGTGGGTTTCCGAGTCATAAATGGGTTACAACATTGCAGAGAAAAGTTAACTCAATACGTGGAACACACTCATAGTTAGTTAGTGCTTTATTGGTCCTTTTGTATAAGGGATCGTAATTAGATCATTCTTTGCTTGAAGCCTAGAAGTTAATAAACACAATTTGTATAATATAAGTGCACTTCAATGATTGTTCATTTTAACCTGGACAATAAGTAACATTACGATTTTAGCAGTAAAAATGTCAATATTAAAATATTGTTGATAGTACTTTTTTTTTAAACTGACATCTGTTTTACAAAAAATATCTTTATGAGTATTCATTAATTTGTTCGCATGGTTAAAAGGAGACAATTTTACAGTGCATTTTTTTACAACTGTATCTTAAAAACTATAAGGGTCCATGTTTTAAAATTACTATAATATTGAACAGTTTCTACTGTTAAAAAATGAGTTTTCGATAAAAAAGAAAAAAAAAATCAATTATTTTATTAATTTCATCAAAACACAAAAATACATTTTATTTTATATTAATAATGTATTGTTTTTATTAAAATTTGTTCTTATTTCTGTTTCCAGATGATGATAAGGAAGACGATGACTTTGATGAGAAAAATGATGGTAAGCTCTATTTATCTCATGTTAAAATTAAACTTTTCCTATTAAGTAAAATATTAATTAAAAGTTAATGATCATACATTTTATTTAGATGGAACGAGGAAAAAACGTAGGCCAGAAAGGAGAGAGGACAAAGATAGACCTCTGCCTCCACTTCTTGCTAGAGTCGGTGGAAATATTGAAGTAAGTTGTGTTTAAGAATTTCAAGCTGTTTCGTTTGTGAATCAATTTTAGCTTAAAATAGTGATTTTCGATGAGTTTGGTATTTTATTAATGTTCCTTCATAAATCTGATGACCCTAACTAGCTCTTTAATTTGTAAAATACAAGTTATTATAGTTAGACCTATGTATACCAAACTTGCATATATTCTAAATTTCTATTGACCTTTTTTTAGGAACTTAAAGTTTTTATTTTTTAAAAATTCAATACATAGATTTAAAAGCACAGTTCAAATGAATATATAAAATTTAATAGTCATAAAAAAAAAAATATATATATATATATATATATATATATATATGCATTTACATAATGGATAATAAGTTATAAAAAGAGAACTAAGTTTCATGGTACAGTGTAAATTTAGAAATGACCGTGTTTAATGAAGAAGTATTTTTTTTTTTTTTTTTTGTTCTTCCCTACCTCGCTTTTAGGCTATACGGGATTTTCCTATGCCTGAGGGTGAGGGGAGGAGGGGGAGGGGGGAGTTCAAATCCCCTCTGTCACAGGGACGCGATCACCGGTACTTTTTTTTTATCTCAACTTCGGTTATCTGGTTGCAGGGCAACTCGCAGTGCTGTGCACAGGCATTAGCTCATTCGGCCACCCCGCCCCCTAAGAAGAAGTAATTGTGATATCCTACGGGATTTATCTGGTTCCTAATTTTTAATGAAATTTCCTGTTAAATTTTGGACTTCATATAATAAACATAGCTCCTAAATATAAATCATTACGTTTGAATTAAATAAAAAATGTAAAAAGCGGGATGAAAAATAAACTTGTGTCAAAAAAATATAAAATTACAACATGTAAAGTACTGCGAAAACTCTGATTGGATTATTAAAAGTTGAATGTTTTGGAAGAATTTTGAAACAATTAAATCCATTAAGTTTGAAAAAATAAATGAATCCATATTCAATTATAAAACATTTAATTTCCTTAAAAAAAAAGTTGTTTTTGTTGCTTCTTTATCCTTATAAAATAATGATAATTGTTTTTTAGAAATATTTGTTTATATTTTTTATTTAATCGAAAAAAATATATAATGCCTTTTACTTAGTAGAATATTTATTAATTTATTGAATATTTTCTCTAATATTGGTTCAGGTTTTGGGATTCAATGCCAGACAACGTAAAGCATTCCTTAACGCCATCATGCGCTATGGAATGCCCCCTCAGGATGCTTTTAACTCTCAGTGGTAAGCCATTTTACTATATATGCCCTAATGATTCATTAAATTAACTTTGGTATAAAAGCTTATATCTAATGATTCTTAATTTGTTAAATGAGGTTTTATGGAGCCTGGCTTATTCTTACTTGAGAATAAAGATAAATTTATGAACCTATTTTTTTTTTTTTCATTTCGATTTTGAGTGACAAGTACCCTAGTTAATTTAATGATAAGCTTCTTTTTTTTGTTTATGGAGTATTTGAAATTCTATTACCAAAAAAAAGTAAATAAAAAATTTTAAACAGATTTTTTTCCTTTTAAGTGATTCTTGATACATATACAAGATGTCCCGTAAGTAGAGGAAAATTTTTTCTAGGAGTGATAACAAATCTCAAGACCTAAAAAGTTCATATAAACAATGGGCTAATTTTCAGCCGGAATGTAGGAAATTTAACTTTTCTGTTTGTTTTTTTTAGTTTCTTGTTTTTTGTTGAATAGGAAGCAGTAACTAATTAATTTAAGTTATTAACAATTGATTCGCTGTAAACTAGATAAAATTTATTTCAAATAAAAATAGATTTTGTGATTATTAAAATCATTTTTAGAGAGGGCATTGGAGTGGTTAGACAAAGCTAAGTTCTGTCTTTAAAAAAATCATAAATTATTTGCAACTTTTTTTATCATTATCCAAATATACTGCAACACCCCACTTTTAGAAAAACTTCCTCCTTTAATTGACTTTAAGTTCATATTATTTAATTAAAATTTACCAAGCAAAAGCCTGAGATTCTCCTCAAATTGAGTAAAGAAACGATGTGATTTTACATCCAGTCTCATAAAAGTTACCCGTGTTTTCAGTAAAAATGACTTCAATTAACTATTATTTCTTGTTTTCCCTTGATCTGGGATGTAATGTAAATCAAATAATTGCCTAAATACAATTTTTATTTATAAAAATAAATCAAATTAAAATAACAATTCTTTAAATATCTTTCATGTAATGTGGTTATGTAATTATGTTTTTCTCTCAGACCTCGGTCATTGGAATTTGTATCAGTTTTCATGAAAATAATTGAAGAAATCAGTAGGTTTCTATATTTTCAACATCCATTTTAGGACTAGAAACATAACGTTTGTCACTGATAAATACGGATCAATTCACATGACAGTGGCCTGAGAGAAAAACACTATTTCATATCCACCTTGTGTGAAAAATATTTAAAAAGTCATTTTTTTATTACAATACAACTCCGTTCATGCAAAAACAAGAAATAAAGGCTTTGCAACAGTTAGTTGTTGTCAGTTTTGCTGTAAACATGGGTACTTTTATGAGACTAGGTTGAAAATCACATCGTTTCTTTTCATAACTTGAGGTGAATCTTAAGTTTTAGCCTAAAAAACCTCAACTTAATTAATATGTACTTAAACCTTAATAAATGAGGAAGTTTCCCTAAAAGTGAGATGTGGATTATTTCTAGTACAGTTGAATAATGATTTAAAAAAATATCAAATAATTTATGATTTTTTTTTAAGACAGAACTTAGTTTAGTTTTGTTTAGCCTCTAGAATGTCCTCTTTAAATAGTATTAATAATGACAAACTATTTTCGTTTTAAGTCAATTTTGTCTAGTATCCAATCAAGTAATTGTTAATAACTTAAATTAATTAGTTACTGCTTCCTATTCAACTAAAAACTTGACTTAAAAAAACACAAAAATTGAATTTCCTACTTTTTTGCTGAAAATTCGCCCATTGTTTATGTGAACTTTTTAGGTTTTAGTGAACTTTTCTGCTACCACTCCTATCAAAATTTCCTTCTATTTACGGTACATCCTGTATATTTTGAAAGTGATTTCATCACATAGTAATCTAATTGTACCACATAGAATGTCAATTAATAAAAATATTATGAATAAAACATGAACAAGATGATATGTGCCAGTGGTTAAAATTATGTAGACACCCTTTGAACACATTTTTAGGACGCGTTTAAGACTTAATTTCTGGCTCAATAATCTCTTATGCACTATGTTACAATTAATATTGGTAAATATGTATCACCGGTTATTTTAATTAATGGTTTTGTGTATATTATTATGATAGAGAGTAAAAACAGAGAAATGGTTAATTAATTAACAACAAACATGGCTTGATCATGAATTGTTATTAAATTAGTAATTTGAATAAAAGTAAAAGTTTGAAGTTGCAAAATTATGATTTACATTGTTTTGTGGATTAACATAATAATTAAATTTTTATTCTAATTTTTCTATTTAATAAATTTTGCAGATTAAATTATTTAATTCATGATTTATAACTTTATGTTTTGTTAGCTCATATTTATCAATGACTCGCTTAAAACAGCTTTTGTTTCCTTTTAATGTTGTTAAGTGGTACAATAATTACTTTGTATAAAAAACTAATATTAAAATAAAAGAATATAAAACCTTTTTTTCTTCTCATAATGCATTGATGGTTTTTGAATTTCAAATCCTTTTTTTTTTTATTGATATGATTATTTTTAAAATTACCTACATGCTATTTATGGATAGATAACAGAATATCATATTTTAATTTTTTTTTTTTTTAATATATCCTTTGTAATTTATTTACACTTGCTTGTTTTATGCTTTATTCTTCAGGAGGTAACGTATATTTCTTGATCTTTGTTTATGTTTCTGTTATTTTTATTTCGTAAATTCAAATTGATGTTAATAAATGTCACTCATTTTCGTAATAGCATGTTTGTTACATGTGATTAGTCTATGCATAAAATAATTTCATATTATCTAATCTCTGTCTGTTGGTGTAATAGAACAAATTTTAATAATTTTGACTTGAAATCTGCTATTTTTAAGTTAAATATGAAATTAATTATCAGTTTGTATTCATTTTTATTTGAGCATCAAAAAATAAAATACTGGTAAATAAAAAAAAAATGGAATAAAAGCATTATTAAAGTTTTAAATTATTTAAAATTTGTATAAATTCTCTTCACGATACATATTAATGGTTGAAGCCATCAATTCATCCATTATATAAAAATCACAAGTCACAAGCTCTTTTTATGTGATCTCTCTCTTTTTTTTTTATCAAATGCACAATAGATGTTTCTGTTCAAACTATTATTAACATTTAGAACGAAAAAATTGGGTAAATGCCATGTTCTGCTTATGTTCTTGTTTTTCTATAGTGGTTGGTTTTATGCTTTTATTTATTATCTAATAGTTTAAGATTGAACTATAGAATAAAGGTTTTCAAACTATTGTTTATTGAGTTTTAAACAAATGTCTTTTTTTTTTTTTCTCTGAATAACTCTCTATTTCTTCTTAATCACTAGTGTGAGGGGGTGGAGCATCTGTAAGACAAATAATAAGACATTCTGGTAAATGGGTCACCTTATATGTTAAATTAACTCGGGTGAATGAGAAGATCAATTATTACATTTCTCCATGTTGAAGGAAACTCTTCATTGGAATGGAGTATTAGTCTCTTCAATACAAAGAGTTAATTATGAATCAGGTCAGCTCCTACAGTGAGGACACTGTAATAGTAAATAGGGTATGGAGTGGCCAAGTGGTCTAACGTGTGTGCAAAACATACGTTGTCCAGCAACTGAAGATCAGATGATGAAATTAAAATAAGTACAAGTTTGTTTCCTGGTGCCGGTAAAAATTTTAAATTTGGCATTATTCCCATGGCCCTGAGAAAAAACGCTTATAGCTGAAAATGTGAAGGAGAGAACAAAAAAAAGTTGTGAAAGTAATTGATAAAACAAAAAAAAGACCAAATGGCGATGATCAGCTCGCTAATTCGGCCAGGTACAAGATTAGAAATGTCTCTCCTAGGGTTTGTTATTCTTATCGCATGATTGCTCAAGGTACTAAGAACAACAAATGTCCATGTCAATTCGGTTCATAAAAATACGTCAGGAGTCACTGTAGATGAGAGTTAAGCTGACCAAGCAAAACATACGTTGCAGACTTATATTGCACTAAGCAGTTCAAATTTTATGGTGCCTATTATTCCATTATTGTATCGTATGCTCAAGGAAATAATCCGTAATAATTTCTTCACTATTTTTGAACCCAACTTTATTATAATTAGTTCTGGCATCTAATGATCCTTATTTTATTTTATTTTTTTATTTGCCATCTGTAGTGTGCTTTATTCTGTACTATATTTAAGTGTGATGCAAATTTAAATGGATATATTTGGCATCTGTTCATTTATCATATATATTTATGATTGGTAAATTTTTGGTAGTACATTTACTTTCTATGAACCTAAATTAGTTTCAGACTTTTAGATTTTTCCATATTCGATTTTCTTAGATATCATTGCATGCTTAAATTTCTTATCACATTTATATCTTTGCTTTTCGTCATCTGCATGATTTTTTTTTTTTTTTTATAGTGTTAGATTTATAATTGCTTCATTATAAATAAATTTAGATGTTGATGCTACAGTGGTTCTTTGAATTTATCACTAAAAGTAGACTATACTAGCACTCATTTCAATTCAACGGTTATATTTTAAACAGAAAAATACTAAATATGTTATTTAATCAAAAGATCTTCACTCAGATTCTCTAATTACAATTAATTTTGTTTTTATTTTCAATAAAACATTAATTTTTTTCTTTCTTAACATAAAGATCAGTAAATGTATTTATTTAATTGTATCTATGTAAAGCTAGCATCTTTTTACTAAGAAAGTATTTATCCTTCTAAACCATGAAATGGCGGTTACTTCATGCCCCAATATTGCAATTTAGCCCAATGGGTAAGGCACTGACGTGCAATGCTCAAGGTTCTGTGTTTGAATCTGGCCAATCATAAGTAATTAATCATTCTCTTTTATCAACCATGGATTGACCCTGTATTTAGGAGACCCTCCAGGGCCAAAAAATTTTCAAAAGGCTAAATAAGTCTGTAGTTTCGCCCTAAGTGTATAAGAACCGGTCTTTTTGAAGGTTAAATTTCCTACAAGATTCACACTAAACATTTGTAATTACAGTCAACAGAAGCCAAAAAAAAAATTTAAATTGTAATTTTAGTGACAGTGTTCTGTAAAATTTGAATTCAGTTGTATTACATAAAAACTATTTTAAAGATGTTATTTACCTTCAGGAATACTATTTTGAACAGAACGTGATGTTGAAAGTGTCTGTCCTGGCCATATTAAAGAGGACAGTATCTCAGCCATCACAACTCTTCCTGGCCCTCCAAGCAGAAAAATATGTTAACTAGAATGCCAACTTTGTTTATGTAGCTTAAACATGTAAATGGGTCTAAAAGTCTGTGTTGATTTCCCCTAGTTGTTGAAAAATGAACTACAATTTCTACGGCATTGCTTTGGTTGAGAAACTTTATCACATAAAGCTGACTTAATGTTGGCAACTTTTTGTCTGAAATATATTGAAAGCAAGTTAGGGAAGAAAAACTTAATCTTTGCAGTTTTTCAATAGTCGAAAACACACAAGGGTTTGACAAAATTACAACTCAGTCCTGCTTTTTTTTTAGGTTATTTTTTACAAGGCTTAACTTAAATTTTAAATTAAAATTTTCGACTTGACATTCTTGTGTGTGAAGTAGTTTCAGTCATTTCATGGTTTAAGAGAAAAGTACTTTCTAACTAAAGGGTTGACTACCTGAGGCTTTACATCTCTTAATTAAGTAAATACATTCCTGGATCTCTATTTAATAGCATTAATTTGAGAGCTTCAATTGTATTGATTAAGTTTTACTTAATTAGATTTATATATATATGTTTTAAATTATATGTATTCTACAAATTGAAGACTGCTGGTATAAAAAAGCTGTTGTTTTTTTTGTTTGTCAAAAATGAATCAATGGTGCTTTCAGACTTCCAATAAGACAGTTCCAAAAAAAAAGTTGCGAATACATCTAAACATTAATTGAGTCTATGGTATGCAGGAGATGAGTACTCCAAGTGTCACTGGAGAATAACCAGCTAATCTTGGTACTTCCTAATTTACTTCTTGATCTTTCCCATGATTTTTAGGATTTTTACCTTCACTTATCTTTATACGAAATATGTATTAAGGAAAAGTATTGTGATCTTGAAAATTTTCAAATTCTAGTTTTCAATGGAAATACACGTTTTATGGTTTCCTGAGTCTAAATAACCAATTCAGGCAAAATAGTCTTTGTGCGAACAGGCTAACTCATAACCAAAAAGTAGTAAGAAACTGAAATTGCATATTTATGATTTGAATATGTCTGGGATGTTACAGCAACTTTTTTGTTAAAATTGGCAAACCGAAAGTGGCACTTTATATCAATCTTGTACAATTAGGTGTTTTTAATATGAGGTAGGTTTTATCCTCATTGGTGTTCTCCAACAGGCAGTAAATGTAGATTTTTCAAAATTTCTTCCTCTAATGTACCTTTAATTTTGTTTGTTTTAAAAAATGAACTAGCTAGTTCACAATGCAGATGATCAATAAAAATGGGTAAATATAAATAATAAAAGAAATTTATCATGAACTAAAGGAGAAATAAGAAAACTCGGGTAATGAGGGGATGACGATGATTCGAGAACTGCCGAAGAAACCCGAGCGCCCCCTCAAGCTTGGTCAACAGGTCCCGATTACATTATTTACGTATACATGTAGGGTGGGCGAGGTAGCCGAACGGGCTAACGCGTGTGCACTGCACCGCCACTGTCCGCAACCTGATATATCATACAAATGGTAAAAATTAGTCACGAATTCGCGTCTTGGTGCCAGGGGAGTCTTTTAAAGCCTTGCCCACATCCCCTGGCCTGGGAAAACTCCGTATAGCCCCTTAAAGGCGAGGAAGGGGAGAACCCAAAAAAAAAAGGAGTTCATGAGTTTCTTCAGTCTCATTTCTAGCCTAAAATTAAATAAAAATTTTATTTATAACAGTGTTTAAACAAAAAATATACTCACAACGAAATATAAATGAATATCTGACACTTATCAGATTAAGAATAATTCGTGGCACTTAATTCTTTATTAAATTAAATAATTAAAATGTACAGTCATTAAAGAAAATGGTTAGTGAAGAAAAACACATACATTTAATAAATTAAAGGAGAAAAACATTTAGTAATTAATTGTTCTAAGTAATATGTTGTACCATCTATGATTTTTACTTCCAGTTACTGCCCGCTAAATATTTTAATGGTAGTATTACTTTATTACGGGCGCTAATGACTTAGATGTTTTCAGTCTAAAACATCAAATAATGGAAAGACATATTTTTACTCAAAGAAGGATGGTAAACGAAAGTTGTATGATGTGTGCACCGTGCCAAATTTTTTTTCTTGTGATTTACATCCATATGTATTATTGCATTCTTTGTTTAAAATTATTATAGTAATACTTTTTTTTCCACTGAGGAAAATGTATTTTTTTTTTTTTTTTAATACAATTAGTCTGAATAAGCTATTTATTTTTTCCTGCAGTCTTCAATTATTGATAATAAATATTCAGTTTCAAATGAAAGTTTTCTGTAATCTTTGCTTCTGACTAATATAATTTCTTTAGAATTTATATTCATCCCAAATGCTATTTCTGTGTTTAGTATTCATAAATATTTATACTAGAAAATAATTATAATAGAATAATCAGTAATAAACGCCAACATGTTTCAAGAATAAATTTTATGTCTTGCATTCTAAAGTATCAAATTGATGTCCTGGAGTTCTAATTCGAGAGTTTTGTTGTTGTTTTTTATATACCTTTTATTTTGATCAAAATTTGAGGACTTAAATTTTACTTTTCTCTTCTTTTTTTATGTTATATTCATGAATATTTAGTGTTGGTTAATTCTTTTTTAATTACAAAAATAATCACAGTTTGCCAACATAAAATTGAAATAGACCAGCAGGACAGAGATTAGTTAGTATTTGGTGAATTGGTATCCTTGGGGCTAAGCTTTATCACAGTAAGGACTTGAGGTGTTCCAGGCTCGTTCGAGATCTGAGAGGTAAATCAGAAAAGCATTTCAAGGCCTACGTGTCTCTCTTCATGAGGCATTTGTGTGAGCCTGGTGCAGACAATGCTGAAACTTTTGCGGATGGAGTACCAAGGGAAGGACTTAGTCGGCAGCATGTTCTCACTAGGATAGGTGTAATGTCACTCATCAGGAAAAAGGTAAATATCATTAAAAAATTAATTCTAAATATAATTTAATTTTTTTTAATTCACCTCTGTATTTTATAATCGACAGGAAATGAATAAATCATTTAATAATTGAAAAATATATATAATTTTAATCACAACAAAGGCTCAGGGATATAGAATGCAACCAGTCTCGGTGATCTGAGATCACTTCTCTCAGTGATTAGTTGTATTACTATTTATTGCGAGATAGATTGGTAAATGATTCATGAATCACCAGGTGGGAGTGAGCTCAGGGCGATATTTGAGCGGCTCAGTGAACTGTTTACTTCATTCCCTAAAAATGAAAATCATTTCCGATATTAGAAAAATTCAAACACCTCGGCTCCACAATAACCTTAATGAATGACCAACGTTCAGAAATAGAGCAGTGTATAACTAGCGCAAACAGAGCTTTCTTCTCCCATGCAAAGGTATTATAATCCCAAGAAATTTCAAATTGAAGGCGTACAATGCTTTGATAAAACCAGTTCTAATATATGGCTGTGAGACCTAACACTTACCAACATCCTAGAAAAAATTGAGAGAAAATTCCTTAGCATGATAACTGGAGCGATCTGGGACCAGAGTAATAACATGTGGAGAAGAAAGACCAATAAAGAATTGCTTTAAAAAAAAACTGGTCAGTCAATATCCTATGATATGAAGGCACAGAGGTTAAGATGTGCAGGGCATGTAGCTCGTAGCAATCCATTTGAAAGCCTCTACTTAACAATGAATGCCGCAATAAAAGGCAAAAGACCATATGGGAGGCCAAAAAGCAGATGAATAGACAGAAGAAACAGAGCTGCATGCAGATAACTGGAAAGAAATAGCTCAAGACAGGCAGAATTGTTAAAGCGGCAAAAGATCTACATGGTCAATAATGCTAACAGAAAAAAAAAAAATTATATATAAACTTGTTTTACATTTTAATCACAATAACTTTCTTTGTTTTTTCAAATATTTGATGTATAGAAGTTCTATATACATATGTTTGGCTGTAATATAATCCATAGCTTTGATATGTAAAATTCAAAGTTTATTTAGTTCAAAATAGCGTTTTTCTAATCTGTCTAACTTTTCTCATGAGATGGTTTTTTATTTACAGGTTCAAGAATTTGAACAAATTAATGGATATTACTCGATGCCTGAAATGTTAAAGAAACCACTTGTCGAGGCTGGTTTGCCCAAAACCAGTGCCAGCAGCATAGGTGAAGGTGCAAGTAGTTCCGGAACACCTGCAACATCAGCTGCCCCAAGTCCAGCACCTACGCTATTGGACAAGGCACAAGTACAGAATTTTTTAATTGAGTATTAGTTTTTTGTATTTATGAAATAACACATGTTAGATCCATTTTCATTCATAAGTGGTAAATAATATTGTGGTAAAAATATTAACCACAAGTTCATAAATATTTGCAGAGGCATAAAAGGTTTTCACGTAGAGCCAGTGATTGTATGGTAATTCAAATTATGATGTCATCTAGACAAAATTTTACTCATTAAACTTCTCCTTTTTTAAAATTTATTTTGTTTGTTTTTTTCAAGTACATTGTTAGTAGATTGTAGTGTTAGTGATGTTGACAGAAAATGTTTCCGTTATTTTAGTTTTCTCTGTTTGTATTATGTATGTAAATTTACGCTTTTCATATCTTTTTCTCTCTTTCTGTCTGTATTTTTACTTTTAAATAACCAATATTATAAATATGTACTCTATTTATGACCACTTACACATGTATTCAGCACTTATACTTTGTTTTAAAGAGACAACAGTCCCAGAATAATAAAATATATTTTCATTTCATTTCATAAATCAGTGCATATCAACATTCAAAAGAGTCCTGAGTTTTGTTCAGGACTAGAGGGCACTCGACTACTATACCAAGTTTAAATTTCTGTTGACATCAGTTTTACTAACAATCTACTGATGTTTTTGAGTAGATGTGTGACTACATTTCTTTAAGGGTTATTTCTATAATTGAGTATTTATTTATTTTTTTTTTATTGAATTTATTATAACCAACCAATAATTCGTACAATATATTGTTCAGTAAAGAATTGGAAATATAACATCAAAAGTAAGAAAATGCAATATATTATGAAAGTTAGGAACTTCTTTTTATTTCTTGGTTGCTATAAATGGTTCATTATTGAAAATAAGCATAAACATATGACCAAATTTAAATGGGCTGTATTTTTACTAATAAATTAGATTTAAATTGTATACTTTTTGAGGTATGAAAAATAAAATATTCATTTCTAAACAACTTTTTTACTGCTTTTTGGAATGATTTGCTTATTTTTGACGATAAAGAAGTATTATATTCTCTTTTTATTAGGTTTTCAAATATTCAGAACACTATACATTTCCAGGAGTATTTCAGTTATTAATTAAAAGGCTAATCGAATTGTATACAGAGCTCATCTTAAAATTTATTAATAATAATTATACATATAACATCCTCTGTCATTCATAGTAACTTAATCTACTGCATGTGATATGTTTCCCACAGCAACAATGCTATTAAGGTGAGTCAGTGTGGCTGCAACCCCTTTTCTGTGCGTGATTACAAAAACAGTAGATTTCAGGACTTTCAATCACATTTCCAGTACATTCCGAAAGACCCTAACTGGTTCTTGATGTCTGGATCAAAATCTTTTAACATTCATCCACCATTTTTTAATGAAAAGCATAAACTGGCAGTATGATTTGCTAACTCCCCATGAAATTTTAAATCCTAAGGTGCCCCATTTATGACAGCTGAGCATCTCTTTCTTACATTTGTTGCAAAATTGCTTTATTTACACACTTATAATATTTAATTTCTTAAAAGATATATTTTAATTCTATGTTCATTCTTGAATTTTTTATTTTTGTTCAGATTGAGGATTTGAGTGAAAAGGAAGATCCATCAAAGACTGAGGATAAAACAACTGATGATTCCAAACTTTCAGAAGAGGCTAAATCTGTGGATGACGGAAATAAGCCTCAGGTATTTCAACTTGTTTTATTATTGATTATGCTTATGATGTTCCAAGGTCGTTTTAACTTAAATAAAAGAAGGGTTAGAAAATTGAATTAGAAGAGCAATATTGTAACCACGTACTCAGTTAACTTATATGAGAAATTATTTCTATTCCATTAGTTGTCTTTTTTTAATTGTTTTTACTATCACATTACTTCTAAATATTTTATTTGCATATGGATTTTTAACTAGGTCAAACAAAATTACAGTCAATGCACATCAAAAAGTAATTTTAATATGATTATTTTAGACGGAAGGAGAAAAAACAGAAGGATCTTCTAATGCAAATCAAAGTTCTGAAGCTGAGGGAACTGAGGATAAAAAGCCTAAGGAAGAGCCGATGGATGTTGATGGCGAAGCAGAGGCTAAAGATGGTGAAAAACCAGAAAAACAAGAAGCTACAGATGAAAAGGATGCAGCCCTCAAAGAGGAAGAAAAGGATGAAGAGGGCAAAGAGGTATATTTTAAATCCATTTGAATTTTATTTTTATTTATTTTTTATCTATACACACACATCTGTGTTATTATGACTATCTGTTGTTTAAGAAAGGAGATGAAGTAGAGGAGAAGAAGGTAATTGACTTTGAGGAAGATAAATCTAAAAGGAAATTTATGTTCAACATTGCTGACGGAGGGTTTACTGAACTGCATACTCTCTGGCAAAACGAAGAGAAAGCGGCGGTACCTGGTAGGGAGTATGAGATTTGGCATAGGAGGTAAGATATCTACTTTATATATTGTGAGTTTAATGTTGTAGTATAATATATATTTATCTATTAAAGAACATAATTCATTACTTATTTAATGTGAAAAGGAGTTAGTCGGGGGTGCGGTCAGAGAAATACTAAATTAAAATATAGTAATTATTTTATTTTAATTTTGCTGACGTTTCTACCCACTTTGCAGGTCGTCTTCAGGGCGTATGATGTAGCACTGCGGGAGGCAGTTGAAAAGTGTTTGAGTGTTTCAACTGCCTCCCGCAATGCTACATCCTATACCCTGAAGACGGCCTTCAAAGTGCGTCGAAACGTCGGCAAAATTAAAATAAAATAATTACTATATTTTAATTTAGTATTTATATGACTGCACCCCCAACTAACTCCTTCTCATATTATATCAACGGTCAACCATCTCTACATCATTACTTATTTAAGTTTTATTTTTAATATGTTTTTATGAATTTTTTTAAGTCAGTGAATTCTTTATGAATAATGTAATGCTCTCATCAGTGTTAATGTTGTATTGCTTGGTCAACAAGTATAGATTAATTTAATTTACATATATTATGAAGTGTCTTAAGTAATTGTAATGACATTATATACAAGGCCTCAAGTAAGGATTGTATTTTAAAATCATTTTAGTTATAATTCATTTCAAACAATAATCAATCAGGAAAAAAACAATAAGCAATACTTTTTGAAATTACCAAATAATATTTATCACCAACAATATGTATAAAATTTGAAAACAAATTTTAAAATTGAGTTTGAATTTTAGACATGACTATTGGCTTTTGGGTGGGATCGTCACCCATGGCTATGGTCGTTGGCAAGACATTCAGAATGATATCAGATTTGCTATTATCAACGAACCATTCAAGATGGATGTTGGAAAAGGAAATTTCTTGGAAATTAAAAACAAATTTCTCGCCAGAAGGTTTAAAGTATGTTTATATTGATGATTTTTATTTCAATCAATTATTTAATACAATTTTAAATATTTAGTTATATCATTATTTTATTTTAATATTTGTTTAGCTTCTCGAACAAGCTCTAGTAATAGAAGAACAATTAAGACGTGCTGCATATTTGAATTTGACACAAGATCCAAACCATCCTGCAATGTCACTTAATGCGAGGTTTGCAGAGGTTGAATGTCTTGCTGAATCTCACCAACACCTCTCAAAGGAGAGTCTTGCTGGCAACAAACCTGCTAATGCAGTTTTACATAAAGTAAGTGATCTAACATAAAGTTTTAATTGTTTTTTTTTTTTAAATATTAAAAATATTTTTCTATAAAAATCCCACTAGAAGTTGTCATGTATTGACTTTTTTTTTTGGATTCAGGTATTGAACCAATTAGAGGAGCTGCTATCGGATATGAAATCTGATGTATCCCGATTGCCAGCCACTCTAGCCAGAATTCCACCTGTAGCCCAAAGGCTGCAGATGTCTGAACGTTCAATACTTTCTAGGTTGGCAGCAACGACATCTCCTGCTACCCCCACCACGTCCCACCAAACTGGTAAGCCCTTTTTTATGAATTACTGTCAGTTATTTGTGAATTATTGGAGGAAGTTAGTCGACTGTTCTATATATCATGGGTGATAAATATTCAGGACACAGTCATTATAAAGTTTTTATTAGTGCCGACATTTCAACCCAAACATGTGGATCACGTCATCACTCAAAAAATCATCTGAAGTCATATACGTACAGTTTAAACGTCGGCACTAATAAAAACTCTATAATGACTGCGTCCTGAATATTTATCATCTATGTCAGTTATTTATGTTGCATTTGTTAATTAATAAATATTTAGTAGCTCAGTGAAAGAAAATTTAGTTAATTGGCTATAAATTATCTTAATTTGTAATCTGATAATTCTTATCCAATTTCAAATTCTTTATTTTTACCTGACAAAGCAAAGCGAAACGAGGGTTATGTGTTTAGGTTTGATTCATTCTTTATTTAATTCAATTGAATTCTATTATCAAATCCATGAGACAAACTTGAAACCTACTATCTTTGATTTGATGAAATTTCGAAGGATTCAAAGTGTTAATACCTAAATGATCTATTCTAGGTTTTATCAAATTTCAACTACTTCTTTTGCTAAGGCATGTGTTTTTCCTTGACAAGATTAAATTTCAAAAATATCTGTTGATTTTATTCCTAAACGATAAATCATAGAACTGGAAATATTATTAAATCATATAATTAATAGAAATTGTGGGAAAACTAAATTGTGCTACTACCTTACTTGACAAGCATTTTTTTTTTTTTTTTTTTTTTTTTTTTTATCATTCTTTTTGGAAAATTATGTTTGATAATTTGTAAGGTTAGTAACAGTTTTATTAGTCAGTTTGTTAGCAGAGTTCAAACTCTTTATAGATAACTTTTTCATGCCAAGCAAAATGCGTGACAGATATAAAACTGTGACAAGGTCGTGGTGGCCGAGTGTGTTGGAGCATTGCCTGTACTAGCATCCTCGTGTCTAGCGATGCCGGTTCAAATCCGGCCTGAGAGGGGTTGACTTTTATTTCGTGGTGGACCCACAGAATGAAACTCAACCCTCCCATTCTGGTTTAAAGCTTAAAATAGGTTTGATTCTACCTCTAGAACAACTAACTAAATGGCCTAATCGACAAGCACATGTTACATTTATTTTACAGATCCGAAGTTGAACCCTATCTGTTACATTTCTTTAAAAATCTAGAGGCGAATCCATAAAAAATCCCCAATCATTTCATAATATTTTGTTTATATCACCCATTTTTCTTTTAAGGTATGATAAGCAGCCAGTTTCCAGCCGGATTTCAATCAGGACAGCTGACAGGAACATTTCCAAATGCCAGTTTTACAAACTTCAGGCCTCAGTATTCAGTGCCTGGGCAAACTGCTGCCCAGGGCTTTCCTGGTAAGTTTAAATTTATCATGCTATTTTTCTATGATTTTTGGTGATCGGAAAGAGCGAATAAAATATTAATAAATCAGATGGTGTCACATAAATAATGAAAAATATTTAGAAAGATGATAGCAGGCCTTTAGATCTAAATTTAATTTTATATAGGCCCTGGCCCTTTGGTTCAAAATTTAATGTTTTCTGTTTTCTTCAATATCATATAAAAAAAAAAATTTAAACACAAAACTTAATTGTTCTGCCCGCTGTTCTTTGTGGAATCAGACCTTAGTTTATGTCCACTTTCTTATTGCTCTTGAGACCTGCTATCACAACTTTATTTATATATTTGTGATTATTTACGGAACACCCTATATGTTTTATTCATCATACCTCATTATGATTTTGAGTTCATAATTGTATCTGTTTTATACGTACAATATGGTACAAAGTTATTAGTATCAAATTTTTTTCATATATTTTAAAAGTTAATTAGTTTTAAATATATGTTTTATAATCAAGTTCTGATGCTTTAAACTTTTTCTAATTTATTGTTAAGCCTGTTTGTTATGAGATTGTTAATGTGCTTTAGGATACCAACCCTCCCAACATAAGGTGTGGTCACTAACTACAGCTTACTCTTGAGTGATAAATATTCAGGACACAGTCTTTTTCAAACAAAAATTTTTATGTTTTATTTATGCCTATGTTTTAACCCAAATATGTTGGTCATCTTTTCAGTGCGTGGTTTGAGCACTGAGGGTGTTCAAGTACTCGAGTGCTCAAACCACACCCTGAAGATGACCCACTTGTTTGGGTTGAAACATTGACATAAATAAACAATTTTTTAAAAAAGACTGCGTCCTGAATATTTATCACCCATAATATGTAGAACAGTCGACTAACTTCCTTCAATACTGCTTAACCTGTTTTTGTTTCATTATTCTGGAAAAAAACTTAATTATTATGGAGTTTTAGGACTGTTAAGTATTTCTAATTACTCAGGTTCTATACTATCCAATACGGTCCAATTAAAATATTTACTTTAAATTTCATGTAATGAGTAGCGTTATGTGTCCAGCACCTTACCACATTCATTTCTTCAATGTTTAATCGTTTTATATAAGTCCATAATTTTAAGAATCTTTGTCATCTATTTTTTCCTAATATCATGGAAACTGCAACTCCATGTTTTCTATATCTGAATAACTCTAGTCTCGAGACTAATACAAGAAATATAAACATGCTATTACAAGAAATATAAACTAGATATGACGAACATTGTTCGAATTATGAACTTTTATAAAAGGAGTAAGGATTGACGAGATGAATGTGATGCTGTATGCCAAAAGCTACTTATTATACAAGATGTAAAATAAACAACGGTAACGAGACTATCGTATGGTATAGAACCTGAATAAAAACATAATTTTAACTTCTTAAGATTATGTATTAAAACTATTTATACATCTCAATATTACATGTATATGTATGTATATATATATATATATATATATATATATAATATATATATATATATATATATATATATATATATATATATATATATATATATTATATAACTTCCACAAACTTGTGTTTAAAACAAAAATTGTTATAAAGCCTTTCTACCATGATGTATTGATATATTTTATAAGTATTGGCGTTTTACTTGGGTTTATTTTATATTAAAATCTGAGAACAATCATTATTAGATTATTGTCTGTCTCCATGTTTAATAAATATCTGTGGAGTTTCGTTCTAGTTCCTTTTATTTTCCAATCTAGGTAATTGAATTAGAATTACCTCTACAATTTTCGCTATGATTATTTTGTACATTAAGGAAATGAAATTTGCACTTAATACTTTGATTAGTGATTTGAACTCTAAATAATTATTTTTATTTCCATTTGATATTTTCTCCTTTAAAATTTGTAAGTATTTTTCATATATATATATATATATATATTTTTTTTTTTTTTTAAATTTTGCTTACCCGTCATTATTTTCTTACTTATGTCAGCTTTACATTATGAAAATTAAATGAATTAGAATCTATTAACTTATATTTATATTGAAAGTACCATAAATACCCTCTAAGTACTCCATCGGCTATTCTGTAAAGTTTGTTTACTTGGTATTCAGATGGTTAACAAGAAGAGATACCTACTATTTTTATTAGATTTTTAATTGAAAAAATGTTGAATTCTTATTTATAACTTTAATTTAGTATTTGCAATGTTCAATAATTTTATTTTTTGTAATTATATGAATAATTTTATTTTCATGAATTTAGATTTTATAGTTTTAGTATACTTGTTCTCAAACTGTTAATAATAACATACACTAACTAGCATTCTTCAGCAATCATTGTTTCCAACTTTTATTTAAAATAATAACTCTTCATGTCAAAGGAGTCTTTTTAGTATCAATGGAGTACTGGTTTGCATTTTTAATTTTTATAGTCAGTAAAGATTTCATTATATAAAGATAGTGACCTTGAATTCTTTAAAACTAAAATACAAGAAATATAGTTCAGATTTTATTATAGTATAATAATTTCATAAAAATTAATTAATTTAAACTATCATATTGTTTTTCTCTCTATTGTCCGAGAGTAGAATATTTAATTTAAAATGTGTTTCATTAATTTCTACATGTTAAAAAAAAAAATAATCTAGCTGTAAAAATATTGGAACAGCATCATCGCCCTGGAGTAAACGTGACTCCGTAAGATCCGTTCCTCTGATCACTACTATTTTTCCCATCTCGCTGTTTTGTTTTTTTCATACTATTAACTATTTATAAACCTTTTTTACTAGTTGTATTTTATCTGAAATAATAGACTTTTACACTGTATCGGGATGCATCTCTTATAGCCTTTAAAAATTAAGTTAGAACGTTGAAAATTTTAAAATTAAAAAAGTGATTTCTAGGTTCTCAATTTGTTTTTTTCTTACATTCCCGCCACTTTGATAAATATAATTCAAAAACAAATTATAAAAAATTCAAAACCATAGCATGAAAGAAATTCAGCAGTTCCTCCTACCATCATCTTTGGCTCCATGCCAGTATTGGTAGCACTGCTGCCTGCTATCAAGGATATTTATCGACCTCCCGGTCTAGATCCGCTGTGTTAAGTCGAAAGCAGAATCACCTCGCACAGATGACAATTTTGGCTGTAGCGTCCTCGAGGTCTCCACTTAATTTTTCAGGCCTCTCGGGTACTCCCCTTGTTTTGAATTTTTTTTTTTTTTTCTCCCATTCCTACCATTTTGATAAATATAATTCGGAAATACATATTATAAAAAATTCACAAACAGCATGAGGAAGAAATTCAGCAGTTCAATTGATTTTCAATTTGTATTTAACACTAAACATACCATTTTCAGTGAACTCTCAAAATTTGTAGACTTTAGTTGTTTTCTCTCTAATTAAATATGCAATTTTTAATCTGTAAAATAAACTTTGTTTGTCTTTGACATAAAATGTATGCTAAGTAGGTTATAAGGTTAACTTAAGGGTTATTTATTTATCCTGAGACACCTAACTAAATAATCTTGAGAAAGTGGAAATATTTTTTGAAAAGAAAAATAGTAGGGTTGATCTGTCAAAAAAATAAATAATTGTATTTATTTTTGCTGACATTTCACCCCAAACTTCAGGCCTTCATCAGATCTAAGAAAAAAAAAACCCATAAACCACAAAAACTATTGTCTATTGACGCACTTTTTGGATGCTGGAAAAAAATGCGAACAGCAGCTATTTAAAGAAAAGAGGGATGAAGTTTTTGGGTCGCTGCGAGATGTGAAGGTTTGTGCTCCTGTCGCAGTTTGTTCAAATTGACTTCGAACTGAGTCTCGCAGATGAAGTAAAACTGAAATACTCGATGAAGTAAAATTTATTGAAAAAAAAAATGAATTTCATTTATTCTTTCGAACAACTTTTTATACAAACACAAGGAAATATGGGTTTTCTCCCGGACCCAGTTTTTATTAATTTCAACCTCCAGCTATTATAGTCCGTTGAAGAATCCATGCAATTCATAGAACTGATAACGATAATAATTTGTGTATTTCTCATTAGAAAGTGTTGTTTTTTTCTTAAAATAGCTTCTTTTGGGAACGTTTTCATGAAGGAAGGTACTAATTATTTGGTCTCCGATTTGATCGGAATCGGAAATTATTCTGAGTTTGGTTTTCTTAGAGAACTCATTTCCAAGCTGCAGGACCATTTATAGTAATCTTTCTCAGATTTTGACAATTTCGATAAAAATTACCATTCATTGACCGTGGTTATCGACCATATCACTTATTCAAATTATTAACTTTCGGTTCTCGTTCGACGCACAATTTGCCATTTATTTCTCACAATTTCTTAAAGAATACATTTTTTCTCTTTGATGCACTCGTTAGTGATACATGAAAAAAAAAATACCAGATAGATAAACGTTTTCTCTTGGTAATCCATGTTAGCAATTTAGTTTTTTACATGTCTAAACCCATACACAGAATTTCTCGTAACCAGAGGGAAATATTTAAAAGAGTGATTGCAGAACTTAATAAATACAAAAAAATGTATACAAACAATGGTTCGATTTTCAGCAGGAAAATAGGAAATTAAAGATTTGTGATTTTTTATGTAAGTCTCAGTTTTAGTTGAATAGAAAGTGAAGAAAAAAAAATATTTAATTTAAGTAATTAATGATTGCTTCACTGTAAACTAGGCAAAATTTACTTAAAATAAAAATAGAGTTTGCTTTTGTTAAAACCATTTAAAGAGGACTTTTGAGCGACTAAACTCAGCTAAGGAGTGGGGAGGGGAGAGATGGGTAGTGATGGGGAAAGCACCTGGTACAGAGGTGCTCCCTGTTCTCTCTCCTGAGAAAATTCCTGTAAAATTGGGTACATTTAGCCCTAATCTTCTCAGGTATGCATTCTAATCTGTTTTCGGGACTAAAGTTAGGAAAAACCACCGTAATGATGTTTTGCTGCTTATACTTTTTTATTTTAAAAAACAGTTTCAGTCTTATATACATTCGTTATCACCTGTATTCTACTGTAGCTCAAATTTTCACATTTTTTTTTCATACCAGGATTACATAATTACAAAATAACCATTGATTATGATTGGTTCATAATATTCTTAAGAAATACTTAAGAATGCCATAGCTGGGTGGCTAAACACTATCAATAATTTAGACTGATCCAACCTAAGCTCTTTCTTCTTACCAGTTTGAATGGTCCCTGTGACACCAGGTTGATCATTAGTCCTTAATTTGTGGAATCCTATTAATTGATAAGCTTTTGTTTCCAGGCTTTAAAAAAAAAAAAAGTTAGAATTATATGTTAAATAAGCATTTTCACTCATAAATTAACATACATTTTAAAAACTATTATATCGATTATTGTTTACCAACTTCTAGATTTTTTTTTTAAATATGTATATGCTATTTCTGTGTTTATATACACATACAGTTTATATACACATAATCTAATTCAATGTACACATTCTAATAATGTTTCTTTTTAGCATGTCTTACTCCCATTAAATTTTTCCAAGTTTGTTGTCATATGCTTAGCATTTCATTATTTTCCTTAAAGTATTGTATAAATCAACAATCATTTTTATAGTTTAATGTAGCATTATTTTCCTTTACCATATCCACCTCTAAGTGGTGTGAAAATCATTGCTGTTACAAACTTGCCTATTGCCTATATGCTATTTGTGGCTTTACACGTTCAGGATATAAGTTCGAGCTCGGAGATTTATACACCGATCCTCCTTTCTAATTTCCCATAACATAATAAAAATATGTCTTTGTAGATTAAATGCTTTAACTTATTTTTAAAAATAAATCATAAAGTTAATAACTCCCTGATTAAATCAAGTTAATACAGTTAAGTCATTTAAAAATGTTAGAATTATAATTTAATTAAATTGCATTTGTTATAAGTTGTTTTTACAAATATACTTTTATGTTTGTTTGAATTACTGTATTATATTTAAGTCGATGTTTCTAATTTTTTTTTTATTATAATTATTGTTTAGTTAGGTTTTGAATTCTATCCATTTTTAAAATTAATTTTGTAACAAATAAAATAAAATGCAAATATTTTTTTGGCTATTACACCATTTTACAATATTTGTTTACATTGCTTTCATTATTTTTTTATTATTGAATGAATCATGGTTGAGGCTGTTAAGCTTTATTTTATGTAATTATAATTTTTAAAAATTTAATTTAAAATAAAAAGTATAATCACCCTATTATATTTATAAATATAGTAGGATATAGCTTATAATCATATTTACTCAGTTTGGGTAACCTCTGCAATTAATTATGGAAGTATTATTTCATATTAGCACTAATCGAAATATTAGGACTGATAACTTCCTTTTAATGTTCTTATCTCTAACAGAGTTTACCCAAGTAAGCTCAATTATTGCTTTCTAAACTTCGCTTTGGGGGTTGCAAAATAAATAGGGGAAAAATTCGATGTGATATTTTTGGGCTTCCAATTTACAGATGGGGCCGAAATGGACGTCTCCCGAGTCCCACTCTACCATGAGGGCTCGTGGAAAGACACCTGGTAATAAGGCAAGGCAGTCTCCAGTCACTATCTAACATTGTACATCCTCCACCAACAATCTTCTTTTCTTGTTAACCAACAATTCTGTTATTTAGATGTATGCTTTAAAATTTTTAGTTTAATCTAAGGTAATGGTGGAATTGTTTGATAAGTTTCTAATTTGCTTAACTATTTCTTAAATAATTTAGATAACTGATTTTAGTAATCCCACAACAAGATCGTGATTATAATAATCTTCGAAAACTAACACTAAAATTTAATCTTATTTCAATCAAATAATTTTAATGAACTGGTCAGTATGGCTTCAAGAAACAAATTAATTACATATTTGCATGTAGTTCAAATCCATGTGATGTCAAATTTTAATAATGGCACATCTGATTTGGCCCAAATTTAGAATAGTTGGGGTTTAGTGTAAAACTGGCTCACTATTAATTTTATCAAATACTATCCCCTACTTTCACATAGCATGCATATGTATTTTTCCTCATCCTGGCTATATTTCAAAAATGATTAGTCCGATTTGAAGGAAAGGATTAATAAGATGGGATCGTGAACTAATGAAGGGCGCTCAAGCATGGTCAGAATTTCAAGATTACTTTTGAACATGTATAATATGTTTTGGGAATGTACAGACTCTGATAGTATATTTTTGACTTTCATAAATGAGTCTGGTATAAATTAAAATTTAGTTATATCAATTACGTCAATAAGAAAACAAATTTATATAAACACCTACTTAAAATTCTCGCGATGGTATAAAATGTTACTCATCTTTATGCTACCATATATTATAGACCAAAGGTTCTCTGTTTTTTGCCGCTTTATCAGACTATAAAAAATTTGGGGCACTCTAGTCTGACAGAGGAAATATGTGGCACCCTTATAAACAAGTAAATAATTGAAATATACTATCCCAGAAAGAAAAGACAGTGACAAAAAATGCATTAATTTAACAGATATGAAAAACGAATAATTGGTTAATTGGAAAAATTCAATAAGTAACATTTCATAAAATTAAATTACTTAGTACTTTGAAAAATATTCCCTTTGTGAAATTAGAATGTTCACGTTTATTTAATGTTAGTACATTTGATAAACTAAAAGGTTTGCTTCAGTTTGATGCTCTTAATGTGATTTTGTATTGAATTGAATCAAACATAAAATTTAAAAAAAATGTACTTTTTGTAAATTTTTAAAAATATACTTAATAATATAATTTTAAAAAATGCTAAGACTTTTTGCTATAAACCGACGATATAATTAATGATTTTGAATGAATATGTTGTATCTTCTCGTTTATAATTTTGTTTTCCCTTCCCTTATTCATGAAAATACCTATTTAGGATTTACCTTTTAGAATGGTAATTGAAGGTTGCTTTATTCACAGACCAAACAAGAATTTTAAAATTAATATTATGAATGTTTTTAATATCAAAAGTTATTAAATAGTAAATTATCTAGATCATTATAGAATGGTACCAATTTTTGTCCAGTGAAATTCAAGGAAGTAATGTACGTCTTGTCCGGAAGATTCCGCAGGCTATTTAAATATCATAAGACTGATGATTGCCATTTGAGTTCACTTTATAAGTGAACTAACTTCTTTCGCTGCGGGCTTAATTTAATGAAAATACCTCACTTAGAGATGAATTTTATTTAAAAATTCTCAAAACAACTTCTAGATGGTCAATTTGAACTACAAATTATATCCTTTTAAAGCTAAAGGAATATATTTTTTCTTGAAGTAGTAACTTCTAATTCAAGACCATTATCCAGTTAATGTTTATTTCAATCCTTAAGTTAAATCTTGGTCTAGCAAGAAAGTTGTGGGATTACTTTAATTTTATGAACTCAGCTGTGAAGTTTTAAACACACTCTTAAATGTGAATTTAATTGAGGTCAAGTTAGATTATTTTAATTTACATCAATAATTAGCATGGGTGATAAATATTCAGGACACAGTCATAAGGTTTTTATTAGTGCTGACATTTCAACCCAAACATGTGGGACACCATCAGGGCGTGATTTGAGCACTGAAGATATTCACTTGAATATCTTCAGTGCTCAAACCACGCCCTGATGATGACCCACATGTTTGGGTTGAAACGACGGCACTAATAAAAACCTTATAATGACTGTTTCCTAAATATTTATTACCCATGATATGTAGAACAGTCGACTAACTTCCTTTAATAATCAGTAGTTATATATATGATTAATTTTATATTTTACTGATGTAGGTATTTGTTTTAATTGATGGCTGTAAAGCATTTATTTTTTATTTTATTTTTCTTAATGATAATTATGAGGTTGAATCTTTTATCAGACAATTTCATCTTGGTAGTGCATTTTTCCCTCTTTTCTGGTCACCTTATGATTCCCTACAATGCATGCTCAGCTAAGTGAATGTATCCCCAGCTTATGGTATTCATTGCTCATTGCTTTTGTTCAATATATTTTTAATTTATATTTTTTTCTGTTTCAGGTAATTGATAATTGAAGGCTGGATGACTTTTGTCTGCAAGTTATTCTCTATGAGTAAAAAATATAGATTTTTTTTTTTTAAAGGAAGAAATAAAAGAAGCGTTTTGTTTAGTTTTGTTTATAGTTCTGTTTATTTCTTTCAATTTATTTCAGCGGAAAAAAAAAATGCCCAAAATAAGCAACTTATTATTGGACATGCTATTTAAATTTCCTATTAGATTATTTTGTTATTTGTAAGATTTTCGGTATTGTAAGAATGTCTATATGTGAAAGAGTGAGGTTGTACAAGATTGCCTAAATACCTTGTATTATTTATTTTTACTATTGAAAAAAAATTTTAACTTCGATCTTAGGTTAAGGGTAATAAAAAAATGTTAAGTAAAAAATAAAAATAGAAAAAAAAATATAACCTTTCCCTTAAAAAGGAAGAGTTATGTATCAAAGATTAATGAATACACATTTATTTTATTCTGTTCGCATTTTAAAATTTTTCGATCTCAGGTGTAATGCATACAAATGTTTTATCATTGACTTAAAATTAGAATTCAACAGATTGATTTTGAAATTAGAAAATAAATTCAGATATTTTGTAAATGATTTTCTTTATTATTTTATGTTTATAAATAAATATTTAAACATTTTAACTTATATATTAATCGTTGTTTTATTTCTTGTATTAAGATTTACATTTTTTATTAAAGTTCTTTTTTCAAAATTTCAGTGGTATTCATTTTTTTAAAAATATATTAGTGAATATCCGAATAGCTGTATTTTTGAGAACTTGAAAGTGTTTTTTGGTTGGATGAACACCAATAAACTCGTTATTAAATTCATTTACCTGGAGCTTTACTATGCCTTATCAGTTGAGGTATAACAGTATCAGAGAATAAATGAAACTTGACAACTGTTGAATTTTTAATATATTAGCTAAGGGATAACAACAGTATCTGCTAATGTTCATTGGCATGGTCTTTATACTATAGTATTATTTTTTAATAATTTATCTACCTCAAGAGATACGCATATAACCCAGTATTACACAGAGTTGAAGTGGCTCTATCTATCCAACCGCTGTCTGTATTTCTCTGCTATCTTTTTATACCATATTTTTAAGCCATCAGAACTCAGTGACTCTCCTATATTTTTTATAGCCTACCATTTAAATGCTCCATTCAATGCCTTCCCACTATATCCCGTACTTCCAACCTCTATCCTCCTCATGGACTGCTGTGTTTGACTAACCTTTGTAATCCAAGCTGTCTCTGTCTGGAATTCTATCCCTCCTCTTTAAACACCTACTACTTTCACAATCATACTGATTATGAAATGTATCTAAGGGCTCTTTCACAGTGAAGATGCAAGATGCAGGATGCATGCATCTTAAATACTGGACTGTGTAATAGAAAGAGAGCTGTCACGGCGAAGATGTAAGTGCATCTTGGGAACCAGCCGTTCGGAGATTTTTCTCGTTCCGGTCGGCTTACACCGCCAACATTTGGTCTACCCTCTCCTTTCTCAATTTTCTCTAAGCTGTTGTGACTGATGTCTCTATCAATTGCTTTTTTATTTTCAACTATTGTTTTATTTTTTTTATCAATTGCTAAACTATTTCTCCATATGTTTTTACCTATTTTTCTTTTTATTACCATGGAAGATTTGAAATTTTATTCCAAAATTTCAATACTTTGTTAGTAATCATTTCCTATTGAAATGACAAGTGAATGTCATGAAGTGGTGCAACCTAGGGTTTCTTTTCTTTTCTGTCCTGATGCATGAATTGGTGAATCGTTGACAGCTTATTTTATTCTTTACCTGTATTTTAAAGACACAAAGCTGTGAGGTTGGAGTTTTCCAATTATAAGGTAACATTTATTCTCCCCCCCCTTTCTCTCTTCCCCAAGATGTGGCATTGATACTTTTAATTAACAATGCTATACAAAGTATTCCTAAGTATTTTTTTTAGATACATTCACGTGGTGTTAAAAAAATTAGTTATACTATTCATGAATAGTATAAGTAACTATATTTTCCCATGGGAATATGAGTAGTATTTCTTTCACAGATACACACAACCAACAATTTGTGTCCCGACGACTTAGTGGCAGTTCCATGAGATCCAACAACTCTGGATGGTTCAGTAATTGCTGAGATACCATAGCAGGGCTATAATTTCCAGTATTATCCCATTATGGATGCTCCCATAAATGATTTCTTCTTTGTCTTCATCTTCTTACTGTACAAAAGCAAGAATTATAATTTCGTCGCCTGAAAAGTCGGATGATTGATTATTCACTACTGCTTTCTGTTGAAACACTGAACCAGTTTCAATGAAACATCTTCTTTCACTTGAAAAGTTGTCTTCAATACCTGTTGATTAAAAAGAAATTAATATGCCATTAAAAATAATCTGATGCAGTGTTGAATGATAAAATAAACGAGATAGTCTGAACCTTTGAAAATTATTAGAATGATTTCATTGTTGAAAACTCAAAAAATAATTCAGGAATTTTAAAGGTGGGTATATTCTATTAAGCAAAAGGTATGCCTCTTATTCTAAATTCATCATATTCCCTAAAACCTGCTTCGAATATTTTGACACACTTTCCTGTATCAAAGAGGAAGGCATGACATCAAAGATTACAGGAAGATATATTTCATTCTTTTTAAGTTACATAAATGTCGACATGATTAGATTATTATTGTTTCTCCTCCTGAAATATTTTAATTATAAAACAACAGGTTAAAAATATATCCACATTTGTGTTAGCGGTTTCTACCTCGTCTTGTCGTAAATATTGTGCAAGGAAATATATTAAGATTTCAACAAGAAAATTAATTTTTTGAAAAACTTTATTAGAAAATAAAATGTATATCTGAAACAAAAAATAAATTACTCAAAATGTCCCCCTTTTGCCTTGATATAGGCATTTAATCTCCATGGCCAGTCATCAATAGCAGCACACAGCACTTCTTGAGGAAAGCTCTCAACTGCTTGGACCACAGATTGAGGCTTTCCAAGTTAGGATGTGCTCTGTGGCATGCCATCCTCTCCAGTTTGTACCAAAGCCGGTAATCTAGTGTGTTGAAATCAGGGCTTCCTGAGGGCCAATCCAAGGCAGAGATGAACTCTGCAATGTTCTTTTGCAGGCATTGCTGAGTTGACCTGGTCTTGTGAGCTGGAGCGGAATCCTCCTGGAAAGCCCAATGTCTTCCAGCAGAGTATCCTTTCATTTAAAGGTTCGACAAAAAGTTCCAAAATATCGTCCTGATAGCTTTTAGCAGCTGTTTTAACATCTTTTTCACAAAAATGGAGCTTTGTGGTGCCATCAAAACTAACTCCCCGCCAAACCATCACTGAGGAAGGGTGATGACCACTCTTCCAATAACTTCCTGGGTTTCTTCCGAGTTGTATGCGTACACGTGATCATTTTGGTGATTAGATTTTTCTTCAATTGTAAACATTTTCTCATCGCTAAAAAAATCTTTCAATGAAGACCATTGGTGTAATGGCCAAGGTGCAATTTTCATCTATACCCTCTATTTTTTTAGGAAAGTGGTAAGCCTTTGTCCTGTCATTCTTCGAAATCCAATCATCCTAAGGTCACTTTTTATTATGCAAGACATTGATCTGACAGAGATTCCAATTTCCCGAGACATGATTTATTGTTTTCGAATGGGATTTCTTCTGATTCAAGCAGCCACTGCTCTCACTGGATTTGCCGTTCTCAAGTGCTTGGACGGCTCAGTCGAGGTCTGTCGCATGCAGATAGGATCTCATTATATCCATTTATAGTGCGGTACACGAACAATCGGCTGATACCCAAAGGTTTAAAAGTGTTGAAAATCTTTGAGCTATTCTTTATGATCACACTACATGCTAACCGAGAGAAAGAAAAATACAAACTAATTGGGATTATTATCCTGACTTGTTAAGAAAATAACGTGATTAAGGTAAGGATTATATAAATAATAGCCAAGGATGTAAACAAATTTCAAGTTTTGTAGCATTATTTATGGCAGAATTAGATTTGTCAATGTTCCTAGAGGAGTGTAAATTCAGTCTTGTTTCTGTAGATTGTGCTATCGCCTAGCGGTGGCTTTTGTAACTTAAAGGGACTGTTAACAATTATACAATAAGTTGAAGCAAAATTTGTTGGTATGATATCGTTTTGGTCACTCCTTCCAATTATTTACTCACTTGCATTTCTCATTAAGCGACCGTTGTAAAAATATTCGCCTATTTTTAGTTTTTGAAGGTCAGATTTGGCTTGGCGCCACTTTCTTCCCACTCACTCGTTTTACTTAAAAAAATGTTTGCGATGTCTTTTTGTAGCTAATAATGGACCTATCGTTACAATTCGTTAATTATTATTTCATGCTTCACAAGGCCACTAAATTCGATTTTTTGCTTTTATGAATGCGTAGCTCCGTTATTTTTCATAAGGTTTTATCGTTTCTTCGATTTTTATGATTCCTATTAAATATGATATAATATATACTAACATTAAGTTTTTTCGATGAGTTTTGTGATTAATATTTCCGATTAACTCTAGAATTTTTCCAAAATTTCCATTTTTTATTATAATTTCTTCCAACCTTCTTCGTCTTTGCCTATGTTGCCTATTTCTTTCCAGTTCCTTGCATCAGCAATATTGCTTATTAATTGATTCGATGTATCCATCTGGTTTTCTGCCTAATTTTAAAGCATTCTTTGTTGTTTAGATACTTCCTTATGGATTGCTCTGAGCTACCCCCACCCATCTTAACCTCCTTGGCTTTATATCACGCGATATTGATTGACCAGTTTCTTCAACCAGTACTTTATTGGTCCTTCTCCGTACATTAGTACCCTTCTGATCCCAAATCGTTTTAATATCGTCTATGTAATAAAAATTTGTCTAGATTTTAGAATTTTTTTTTTCTAGAGACAATAAAATTCAACTTTTAGTTTAAATAGACACTCTTAGAATAATTAAACGTTTTAAAATATCGTATTGCTATTATTTGCACTAAGCAATATGGTTTACATTTGGACATATTTTATTTGATTAAATATTAAACTCAGGGCTTCTATTAAGATTTAAAAAAAAATTAATTAAGTCCTTCTACTGCCTTAGATGTGATGTGCTTATATCAAAAGAAACTCAGTTAAAATATTAGAATACTATTTAACTTGATGAATTTTATCCCCCATTTAAAATTTTACTTGTCATGTGTATTGAGTTGTAAATAAAAACGAGTTATTTCTATATTTATTGATCCTAATTTGTTATTACTTAACCTCAAGTTTTTTTCTTTTAACTGATAAAATAAATAAATCTACAGATTTATAAATAATTGAGCCATTTCGATGTAGATGATATCGTCATTCTCAGAAAACTGGATTGGTCGTGAGAAAACTAATAATCATTTTTAAAATATGTTGAATTCAGAATTGATTTTATTTGATTAATTATTTCTCAATACTTATCGGAATTAATCCTCGCCCATGAAATTTTGCCAATCATCTTCCTGGTACCAAACGACGGTAGGGTTTTGGTCTCATCTTCAACTTATTTCTTAAGTTTTTGCCTAGAGTATGGTACCTGCGAAATAAGAGTGTCTGGCGCAATATTCTGTCAATTCGTAACTGAAGTAAACACTGATAAAAACTTCTTATTTAAATGGTCTTCTAAAAAAAAACTTCTTATTTACTTATGTTCACCGCACTGCAATCAAATAAGTAGAAAATACAGTAAGTAAAAAAAAGTCTGAGTACACTTATTTCTAAAAGAAATTTTTACGTTTCTTCATCCCATGAGTGTTCTGCAATGAAAATATTTGTTAATAATCTATTTAAATCAGTTTCCACTGATACAAATTTTACACAGGGCCTAGTTTTGATACTATAGTAAATAATCAACAAAATGTGATAAAAAAAGTTTGTTTACACTATTTATGAACATAAAAACCTAAACAAAACGTTATAATCCCTTAACTGAATGCCTTATGAGTTATCAGTTATTCAGTATTTGATTAGACATATTCAAAGAAAATTTAAAATCAAGTTCAATGCATCTTAGTATTGGGTCATGATTTATATTTCAGCAAGTATCGAACGTGGAAAGTCCAAGAGTGATTATTCCACTATGCACCAAGGAAATTAAAAACTCCACCTCAATCACAGGATCTGAACCCAACCAGATGAATTCTATACACCTAAGGAATACAGTAAGGCTCGAAATCGGGTTATTACCAAATATAAGCTCCTGTCATGCTCAAATACCATGAATGGGGTACCGTTGGGGTAAGAATTTCACGAGGACTTAGCGAATCGTACTCTCCGCTTTTTTTTTTTTCTAAAATAAAGTCGAAACAAACATTTTGCTAGGCTTCAATACTGGAACGGTGGCAAGTCTGTAGATCGATACGGGACAAATTGGGCTTTGAAGATTTTGATGCGTTTAGCATGTCTATCGGAACTATCGGGCCCTGCGTTCTTAAGCCCAAAAACGTACTATTTTCGAGATGATGCAAGGAAAGGACTCGTATAACCTTACTTTAATTGTAGTACTATCATGGAATAAATGTATCATTTCGTGGACTTAGGCACCTATGACCGAGAGAGGAGGAATTTATATTATTTATCGAAGATAAATAATTTCTTTG